TTATCTCATCTCATTTGGTTTCCTATTCCTCCTTTTTCCATCATCCTTTGGTTTATCCTGTTATTATGATTATATCACCGACCAGGCTCGGGATGTACTGGCGCGCTATATCTAGCGTAATCCTGCCGTAATCCCTTAAAGCCAATAGCCTCGCGTGGCTATACGCATGGTGATTCTATATTCTAGAAGGGTCTATTCCCTTTGGATAGGATAAACCTGGTTACCTGATGTACTCTGGAAGTATAAAAGCACCTTGTACTGATTGATAGTGCAACATTGAGCAACCTTTCCTCGACACATTCGATCCTGTGACACAGAGCCTTTAACTCCTTTTCCATCGCTTCCTTCCATTTCGCCTTATATTCCCCCCCCAGAGCCTGCGACAGGGTCGAAGGCTCTCGCGGAGAAGGCGGCGGTGGATGCTGGACGGAGACCCAGAGGCCTAGAATCTGCAGTCCCGTGGGTGTGTGTCGAGGGGAATTTTCATTCCCGGAATAAGCTGCTTCGTCACCGTCTTCTGGGTCAGGTAAGAAGTTGGGACCGATGCGTTCTGAAACATTTGTGTCGACTGGGTGGGGTGTAATGTAACCTTGGTCAGCGAAGTGGTAAAAGGTGTCGAGGTTGTTGCTATCGAGAGGATTGTCTTCGTCGAGTTGAACAGGTACGGAACAGAATGGGAGTGGTCCGGCAGCTTCCGAGGCTTCAGGTACGTCTTCTTCTACCGCGTCAGCTTCGGCAGCACGGTCGGCGAAGGAATGAAGTCCCGAGAAGCCGTCGGTGGGGTCTTGTGTGTTGGCAATGTTGTCCAGGTAATGCTGCAGCGTCAGTCGCTCGTAGAAGATAACATCACGTGATGCCACGGTATTTTTGTCTTGTATGTCGAGAATTTTCCACGCGTGAAAATGTTTGGCGATGCCGAGGTGTAGTCCCCACCGAGCTCGTTGTGTGAAGCGTCCTGCTCGGGCTGTGTGGGGTCTGTACTGTACCATGCAGCCGAAAACTCGGAGTAATTTTGTGCTGCCCCTTTTTCTTGTCCACAACAGGTGCGGTGATGCGTTGTTGGGAAGCGATGACGAGGACAGCAGGTTGTGCAGGTGAACTGCATGTGTCATCGCGTCTGGCCACAGTGTGGTAGGCAGCCTCATCCCCAGAAGCAGTTTTCGCATCGTCGTCTGCAAGGTCCGGTTCATGCGTTCTGCGACCCCCTGCTGCTGGTGAGCATAGGGCAGAGACACCAGGCGTCTGATTCCTCTTTCCGCCAGATAGGTCCTGAAGCATTGTGACTGGTATTCCAGTGCACCGTCTGACTGGAAGCTCTTGAGTTTGGTTCCTGATTCTCGTTCGGCGATGGGAAGCCATGTTGTGAAGGCGTCGAAAGCTTGATTGCGCGTCTTGAGATTGAAGTGCCAAACGTATCTGGTTGCTGCGTCGATGAACGTTATGACGTAGTTGAAGTCGGCTTCGGTGTCTTCTCGAGGCATGTTTAAGATATCGCTGTAGACTTTTTCCATGGGAGCGTATGTAGGTGCGCTTGGGCTGTGATGAGATGAAAAGGCTGATGGGGAAGATCTGCTTCGGGGCACGTGAAGCACCGTGCTCGTGGTCGTCGAAGTTCTTGGCCGTTCGTCGTTAGGAGGGCGTTGCGTTCTAATACTTCTGCTTGGATTGTCTGTAGTATCGTGCTGTTTGCAGGATGCCCGAGGCGTTGGTGCCAGATGTCGTCGGAAGCGCGATGACCCGGCGAGCGGTGGTATATATCGGCGTTGGAGAAGAACGCGACGACTGTGGCGGGACTTCGACAGACTTCTCGTGTGATGGGCATAAGCTGGTCTGCTTCGGTTGGCGGTCCTCGGATCGCTGGTAGTGGTACTCGGCTGGGTCCTGGTGCTGCTACTGCAGGTGATGGTTTGGTAGGGATACTCGCGGGTACTTGTCTTTCTTGTCTGATGACTGCTAATGCTCGTGTTCTTTCTGCTGCAGGTATGGTGTTGGAGTGCCAGAAGCCGTCACTGTCGAATTCTGGATAAAGATCCGGCGGGTGTGTCCAGGCGGCGAATGATACGATGCCGTCGCTGTCGGCAGTACCGCGGTCGGGGACGAAGTCCAACACGAAGACGCCGGACTTTAGGAGAGCACGACCGATGAAGAGGCCGCCTTTCCCGTGGTAAAGTCGAAACTCATTGGAGTAAGAGTCGCAATCCAGGTGAATCCCTTTGGCCATTAGTTGGCTTATGCTTAGTAGGTTGTATCCCAAGTTGTCGACAATGAGAACTTTGTTGAGCTGAAGTATGACGTTTGTCTCGATGGATTGTAACTGAACCACGCCTTGTCTGTTTGTTTTCAGATTTTCGTTGTTGGCGACGGTGATGATGACGTCGCGGTTGAGGCGTTTCTCTCGTTGCACGAAGCGTCCCGAAGAGCACATGTGTTGACCGCAGCAGCTGTCCAAGAACCAGGTGTTTCGCCCGGTGGGTTCGGCGTTGGCGACCGCAGCGTATGTTGGATTGACTTGAAGGCCTTGTGAGCGCGGTGGCGGGAGCTCTTCTTCGTCTGGTGCGTAAGTGGGTGGTGATCCGGGTGCACAGTTGTCGATGTGTACCATGCAATTGATGATGTTTGGTGTCTGTTGTGCAGATGTTGAAGAGCGTCTTGGGGGACTTGCTTGAGTGGAAGCGACTTGTGGATCTGCTGGACGGTAAACATGAGGGCGGTTGCAGTTGATCTTGGAGTGCCCGGAAGTCTGGCAGTTGTGGCAGAACGGCGGCACGAAGGTAAATCCCCTGTTGTCGCGTTCTTGCTTGCCGCGTCGATTGTAGGTGTTGTCGTTTCTTCGTTGAGTGTAGAAGACTAACTGCTGTTGCTTCCTTGGTTGTCTTTCTTCGAACAGGTCCATCTCCTGTTGTTCAGCGTGAAGCTCGGCGCAGAGGTGCATCTCCGAAATTCTTCCGTGGGCGCGAAGAAGCGATCGTGTGGTTCTCCATTCTGGCCCGAGCCCGGCGAGGACAAGTGTCACGAAGCTTTCTTCAGTGATTGTTCCTCCGCACCGAAGCAGGCGGTCGCGGAGGGTCTGGCATCGACTCATATACTGCATCGCCTTTTCCCCGGTCTTCATTTGTATTGTTGTCAGTTGTTGCATGAGTCTGCTTTGTGTCACGCTGTCGTTTGCTTGGTAGAGGCACTTGAGATGGTGCCATGCGAGTTCCGCGGAGTTTCCATAGCTCCTGTATGTTCTGATGCTCTGCTGTTCTTGTGGTGACAGGTTTCTCAGGAGAACCGTATACGCCAGCAGCGACTGATACGTGAAGATTTCTTGTTCCTTTCCAGTGCCGTTGCTTGGGAATGGCAGGGACCCGTTGAAGTATCCCAGGAGATGCGCAGCCTCCATCAGCAGCTCGAACTCGAAGCTCCAGGTAAAGAAGTCGTGTCCGTTGAACGGTGAGGATGTCTGCAGTTTAATCACGTGTGAAAACTGCGCCTGGAGACTTAAGATTTCGTTTGGTGTTTGTTGTGATGCAGCTGCTGTTGGTTGGGCACGGGGCGGCATGAACTCGAACGTCCCCGGTGAAGAGTGATAAGGCGCAAAGGTAGGCGCTTGATTGTGTCGCCCAAACGATGAGTTGTCGAGGCTCATCGGCGCTAATCCCATGTTTCCTCCGTTGCTCTGTGTTGAATGCGCAGGTGTCCTTGTCTGCTGCTGCTGGTCGAAGTGCGACATGAAGCTGAAGAACCTTTCCATAAGGTTGGGGTCCACGCTTGAAGAGGGAGATGGAGTCACCATCTCTGGTACTCTTCCCATTGTTTCTTGAGCAGTCCCGGTCTCTGTCTGCAGTCCTGAGGTGTGCAGACCAGAGTTGCCGTGTTGAGTTTCTTGGCCGCTGGGTGAGCCTGTAGAGACTTTCTTGCCCTTGCTGTCCATGTCTTGTGATCAATGAAGTCGTTGAATTGAGTTGAGTTGCAGGTTGATGGAGCGCAGTTGCTGGGAGTTTGGTCTCTGACCAGCTCTCATACCATGTTGGGCTGAGAAAAAGTCCTTAGGATATTTTTAGAGACTAAGTCCCAGCTGTGGGTACTTTAGACTTTGAGTAGTGCAGCGGAAGTTGAGACGGTTGAACCCTTGTACTAGTATGTGAGAACAAGTGATTAATTAAAGGAACAAGCATACAGCAATATATAGGAGAAAAGGAAGCGGTTGTAGAATACAGTTACAGGAGCGGTTTATCGAGTCGCACAGCGACTCGATTGCCGCTTCGGTTACCATCCGTGATGTTGTAACGGTCAGTCGTAACCTCCAGTTGCGACCTTTCGAGTATTTTCGCATTCTTTGTCCGCCCCCTCGTGCAACCTCCGTTGACTCGCGTGCTCCCCTGTAATCTTCTTCGAGTACAGTGTTATACTTCAGAAACGCTTAAGTCCTTTGAGATATTTCCAACAGATGCTTCAGTGCTCCGCGAGTTCTGCGACATTCGTGATCCTGCAATTGGGCAATCTGAGTTTTTGTTTGTGGTTCACATTGCCGGAATTTAGGGAAAGTATATCGGCATTCAGTATTAGAGGCCTCGAAAACATGTACAGTCTGTGAAAGATATAGACAATCAGAAGTAGCGAGTTCGCAACATGTTTCATCAGTCGGATTCCACCGTTAGTCAGAAACCTCTTTCTTGCAATTTATGACTAATGGTGGAATCCGACTGATGAGTCATCTTGCGAACTCGCTAATTCTGATTGTTTATATCGTGCCACTGACCGTACATGTTATCGAGGCCCCTAATACTGAGCGCCGATATACTTTCCCCGGAATTTATGTATGGGCTGCCGGAAATTCTGTACAGTGTGGACAACCGGTACACTCGTGTCCGTGTGGCACGTAGATCCAAACGGGAACTCCCGTCTCGAAGTTCGGAGCAAACGAAGGGAGGGTGGGAGCAGATTGGGGCGGAGTGGAGCAGAACTTTACTTGCCACCAGCGCTAACGAACTTCCATCGCACCCTATTGCCCGTTGTCCACATGAGCAAGCAGAACTATGGAGCGATGTCCTCATGAGGTAAATTGACAGTCTACCATCTCCTCAGCAACAGTCCTGATACTGTTGACCGAGGCGGTCCCACAGTAGTTTCTATTAGTCAGTCAACCACCATCAACTAGTCGGCTCCTTGAAACTTCCCTGCTAGCACTCAACGGGATATTACGCCATCCCATCCCATGGCGTCTTCGTTACTGTTCAAAGTTTTCCGTTGTTGTGGCTCCTCCATAACCGCAATCGTCATTCGCCTCACTCTCGGATGCTGTGCGTTGACATTCGTCGTCTTCTTGTCCATCTCCTATTGGGCCAATTTCGGCACGAATCTCTCCCCGCATGCGGAGGAGTTCCGCGACTCGTGGGATTCCTGCGTGTCGCAGCGCGCGGGGCATCTATTTAAGCTCAGCTTCATATCCAGCCTGCACGCGCAAAAGTGCACGGAGCTGGTCGAAGCCGCCGTCGCCAGGGGCGAGGCGCTGGTCGCGCGCGGAAAGGATCTGCGCAAGCGGGGAGAGGCGGCGCCGGTTGCCGCGGACGGGTGCGCGGTGCAGTATGACGCGAGCGCAGATCCGTGGGACTCCCGGCCGTTGCCGCGCGACAAGTTCTCCGAGTCGGGGTGCCGGCTGGAGTGGGTGATCTACTCGTCGGAGTGCGGCGCGAACATGGTGCGCCTCGCGGACTTCGCGCACATGGCGGGGGTCAACTTCTCCATCATCGGAAGCCGCCAGAGCTGGACGGGCCAAGGCGGCCGCCTGCGCACGATCCGCGACTTCCTCGCGGCGCTGCCGCGCGACCGCGTGGTGATCACCACCGACGCCGACGACGTCTTCCTCATGCCGCACCCCAAATGCCGCCCACAAAACTTCCTCGATTCCTTCTTCGCCCTCAACGCGCCCGTGGTTTTCGGAGCGGAGGTCTTCTGCTGGCCGGATTGGAAGAAGCTAGAGAAGTATTATCCTCATATAACCAACTCGTCGGTGAACCGGTTCCTAAACGCGGGCGCTTATGCCGGGTACGCGTGGGCGCTTGCGGAGATCATCGACCTGATCTACGTGCGCGACTGCATGCAGGACCAGCGCGGGCTCATGCTCGCGTTCCTCGCGCAGCATTACCTCTTCCGCGACATGCCGCGCGCGCCCAACCCCGACCCCGCCGCCGTGCGTGCGGCGTGGGAATCGCCGGGCGACGTGGCGGAGGCGGTGCGCGCGCAGGCGGAGGCGGCGGAGACGGCGAGCAGGGCGCGGTGGCGGAACAACCGCATGGTGCAGTACGATTCCGCCATGTCGCCGTTCCACCGGCTGCCCGCGAAGCCAAGGGAGCGCGTGATGGGCGAAGCCAGGCGCGTGGGGCACAGGGACACGGTGTCCGTAATGGCGGCCCCATTCATAAAGCTGGATCACTACGCCGCCCTGTTCATGCACCTGGGGGGGCTCAAGTGGGACAACTTCGAGATTCTGGGGACAGGGGAGGAGGGGCTGGTGAGGGCGCGGAACTCGGGCGGGGAGGCATGCATCCTGCACCAGCAGGGGAACAAGCTGACGAACATCTCGATGCCTTACATAGTAGAGGAGTCGGGACTGGAGGAGCTCAGGAAGGCACGGGGGTACGTTCCTTAGCAATGTGGTGCTTAGGTGAAAGGCAAGGGCGTCTTTTGGTGCTGGTTGCTGCTGCTGCCACTGCTACTGCTGCTGTTTAGAGGCGTCTCTCTCTGGCCCGTGGCAGAGAAAGGCAACCCCAGGTGGGATGGAATGACGAAGCAAGTGGCAGTTAGAGGGTGTGGGGGTGGAAGTGGTGCTAGAGTGTGGACGACGAGATGGGGTGGTGGTGATGCTGGTGCTGGTGCTGGTGCTGGTGCTGGTGCTGGTGCTGGTGCCGGTGCTGGTGCCGGTGCTGGTGCTTGTGCTGGTGCCAGTGCTGGTGCTGGATCTGGTGCTGGTGCTGGTACTGGTGCTGTTGCTCACAGGTGTGAGATGTGGCTGATGGACGGAAAATTGCATGCTTTGGTGGTGATTAGCTAAGGTTCGTGCAGGGCCATTTAATCCTGCACACCTGCCAGCGCGCTTGCTGCCATTCCTGGAGTGTGCGATGACTGATTTTCCAGGAGGAATACTTACGAAGACCGTGCGTAGGGTACATGCCTAAAAGCTCACGTCACGATGGGATGTGAGCAAGGTTGGCTAGTAGAAATGCACCTTTAGCATCATACCGCCTCGTATAATGCTGCTGAAATTTGACCAGGCGCATGTCATCATGGGGGTTGGAGGGGATATGTAAAGAAACATAACATACGGTTTGGTGCCATTTGTTGTCCCTTTTTTTAAGTTGGGTTGTTATGATAATCTCCAGATACAAACCAAGGCTCAAAGTTCATATGCAGTGCGTTCGAACGATTTGGGCCGCGGGTTTTAATCGCAAACGCCATCGTCGAAAGTAGGGCTGTACTACGTGACTCGACCGTACTGTAACACGCGATTATCCGTCTGAAACATGCCAAAACGTTTTCTAAATTACTGTACCTTTCTGACTGTTTGAATGGTGCCCCGTTCGTGATCGCATGTTACCACGCTCTCCCTAAATCGAATTTGCACTACAGCTCCCGAACAAACATTCTGTAGCTTGAGAACTTTCGAGATATTCCCGATTTTGGTGATTCTATTCCATCACTCTGGTGGTCGGTGGGCTTTGTGATGTGAAGTTCACATTGTGAAGTGTGTACCATCCCATCACATATCAGCCCCATTCACCTCACTGCAAACCTTTATTCCACGCCACCCTCATGTGTTCACAATCACATGTGCCAATTTGTTCCTCTTGACTTCAGAGAAGACGAAATGCCCAAGCCAGACTGGTCTGGCTTTGGTCCGGACCAGAGTAACAACAAAAGGAACCTGCGGTGTACCATTTCTGGCAGCAGCCTAGCAGAAGCAGCCCTCTGTCACTTCACACACACTGTGGCATTGCCGGTTCGGCACCAATACCGAACCTCGAGCTGGCAGCGCTGTGTCTGTCAGGCGCAGCACCACCACCCCCCTTGGCTTGCAGTGAGCAGCCAGCCGCAAGCAGCGGCCTGAATTCCGGACAACACCCCTTAGGGCTGGTTCCTAGTCGAATTATTTCACGATCAGGCGTGATCAGTAGAATAGTGCTGGGTTGTTTGACACCACAACCAGGTTCCATTGCCTTTTTTTTCGTTCTTTGCTGGCACGCGTTTCGTAGTGTGAATTTGCCGTTCTTTTCAAGCGTCGGCGGGTTGAGTGGGACATGATTGCGCAATGTTTTGGAAAACTTGGCCGACTGCTCAAATTCGCCTCATCGTTTAGGAGTTGGCCGAGTGGCAAAATATGCCTATAACATTCATACAACTTACTCTCATGTAAACGAGTAACACTACCGCAGGATCACAGAACATCACCAAACAATTGACGAGAGCCACGCCCTAGGGCATCCCGAGCCAGCAACAAACTGTACTGTACATGCGTGCTGCATTCTCAAGACAACGAAGCAAGAAGCTGTTCCCCAGAAGCAAGAAACTTAGGATGTGGCTAGTGGGGTAAGGCGGTCTAAGCTACTCGCGTGTTCTCAGAGCCACACTATCTCGTGTAGCACGGGCCGTCAGTAATACAGTACTGTACCTACATCCCCCCCACCGACTCACGACTGGAAACGCGGCTCAGCGACTCCGCGACTCACCAGAGATCCAGCCGCGAAACACCACCGCAGCGCAACCCGCCGTCCGACGGACGACTCGTTCCATTCCCGCGCATTCTCACCTCCGCTCCCTCCTCCGTTCCCTAAGCACCTGTTGAACCCAGTAGGGCTCGCACGACTGCCATCCATGGCGCAGGCCCGCGCTAACTCTTGATTCGTCGACTCTTTACCCATCCATCCATCCATCCATCTATCCACGCAGCCCAGTAGTACTTTCAGACCGTACCAGGTTCGGAAGCAGCTGACGTGTGAGGAATCTAAACAGTCAGTAAAAAACCTTCGAGGCCTTGCGTCGTCCATGTAGCGCCGTTAATAGTTCCTTCGGTGCCGCGGCAGTCGGAATGTGCTACACGCTGTCCGCCGGCATGATGCCGCCGTCAACTCGCCCGGGCCGTGGCCGTTAACGGAGTGTAATAGCAGACGGTATCCGCCACTGACAATGGCGTCGGAATCTGCGAGTTCCGACGAGTTGCTTCGAGTTGCTGCTGTCATCCGTAACGGTCAGCAGCACTCGCCGTCGCCGTCGCCGTCGCCGTCGCCGCTAGTAGTACCTTCGCCGCTGCTTCCGCCACCGCCGGCGCCGCCGTCGCCGTCTGCATCTCTAGTACGTCCGTAGTAGTATTAGTCATAGTAGTCGTAGTAGTAAGTCCATAGAAGCGGTCAGTCCTAGTTTAGGTTGTTCGGCCGCGGCCCTGCACACGCTAGTACTTTTCTTTCAAGTCGATTCCGATGGCTGTCGCCTAGCTGCATGGAAGGTGCGCGGAACTTACTTGTACCAAGCGCACTCAACTCTGCTTCAATCAAGAGAGCAGGGTAGTTTAAAGTGACAGTTATGGGCGAGCTTTGACGGCCGTGACAGTTTCTTAAAGTCCCGGTTGTCTTGTCTCAGTCGCGGCATACTAGGAGCAGAAGCGACTGAATCTAGGTGATCTTAACGCCAACGCGGCGAACGCCAACGCCGCGAACGCCAACGCGGCGAAGCGCCTCGTGTCCATCCCGAGCTCGTTCCGGTCTTATAGAGACGAGAGGACGCAGCGCCGTATCGTGTCATGTCGCGACGCGCTCCCGTACGCCTTGGACTGGCCTCGACAGACCCCCGCGTCGACCTCATCCCATGACGTGACGACATCCGTGACGCATCCGTGACGCATCTCTGAGGCCTACTTTAGAAGTCGGCGCGCCTCGCCCCCATACCGAGTCGTACTCTTGAACTTAATGCGAGAGCGTTACGATTCGGCGACGTCTGACTGACCTACTAGTGGGCGCGCGGCCTCCCTCTCTGTCCTCCCATAACTCGGGCTGCTTTGCCTTGCCGTCAATCGGAAAAGAAGCCTCCTTCTCGTTCTCCCGCCCGTCTGATCCATCCCTGTCCCCCTCCTCTGCTCCCAACACTTCTACTCTTTCTCTATTCACACAGGACGTGAGAGGCCGGTGCGGTTACTGTACGGGAGAGGCTGTTACCGGCATAGGCGGAAAGGGGAGAGCGGAGGGCGGAAGCAGAGGCGGCGGAAGGAAGGGGAGAGAGAGCAGAGGGGGCTGTGGGAGCAGCGCTAGTAGTAATTGCAGCAGTGTTAATAATAGTGATATAGATAGTAGTGATGTAAATAGTAGTACTATAGATAGCAGTGCTTTTATTAGAAGTACTTCGCGCAGGAGTATGATTATAGAGAGCGGTGCTACCAGGAGCAGTGGGGCGGTAGGTAGCTATAGCGGAAGCAGCAGCAGTGCTAGTAGCAGTGCCAGCGCTGATACTTGCGTGGTGCCAACGATTGCGTCTAGTATAGTTAAGGAGCGCGCTGGTCGTTCGCCCGGAGGCAGCAATGCCGAAGCAGCTTGTAGCGAGTCAGTGGCGCAAAAGCGACCCTATTCCAGGCCGAGAAACGGCAGGTGTGGCAGCGGCAGGCGTGGCAGCAGCAGGCGTGAATCCCCCATGTCTCGACAGCAGACCCCAACGGCTGTCAGACCGACTGAGTGTAGACAATGGGCTGGAGGTTCGCTGGCAGAGAGCGACAGAAAGGGCGGTGGACTAGAGAGCGGTGATGAGATCTGTAGACCACAGCCACGGCCGCAGCTGCAGCGCAGACGGGCATGGCGGAGGGCTCAGCCCGCGTGCTCTGTTTCCTCCTCTTGGCTGTCCTACCTTGCGTCCATCGCCCTGCTCGCCATCGCGGCTGCCGTGACCAGCGGTGGGATCGTGAGCCTACCGGCTACAGCAGCTGCACAGGGCCTTGGGCCACAAAGTATGTGCGCGTGCTCTGCGCCCGGCCCTCCTCCTCCCCCTCCTCCTCTTCCTCCTACTGCATAGTCACCCCTCACCCACCCGCTCCCCTCATCCCCAGCGCATCATTCCCGTCTTTGTTCTCTCGCACTCTTTCTGTTCCTCTAGCTCCCTCCGCTTCGCCTCCCACCCACCACTTTCATTCATCCCTCTTCGTGTCTACCTCACCCAATGGTCTCCCTGCCTCCTTTCTCCCTAGTCGCCCTCCCCCGGCCTTCCTGCCCCTCTTTCCCCATACTTTTCCCCTCTCCCACCAACCCCCCCCCTCCCCCCTCCGCCGTCCCCCGTCTCCCCTCCCCTTCCTTCCCCCTCACCCCCCAACCCCACCGACCCCTTCCCCCGCCACGCCATCCCTCCACCCACGCGCCCTCTCCTCCCCAGCGGATGTCTTGGTGGCGCTGAAGCAGGAGTGGGGCACGGCATTCCCAGCAGCGGCGTCGTGGACGGCAGGGGCGGAATGCTCGTCGCTGGTCGGGGTGACCTGCGACGAGCACAACCAGTTCATCCTCAGGCTGTCAGCTCCCACCTTCCACTCACGCTTTCCGCCTGGGGCTTGCCTTGTGCTGCCTTGCCTTGACTTGCCTAGCTTTGGGTCCTAGCCACGTGTTGAGTCAGGGGTGGCTAATGCAGCGCAGGCAGGCACTCGTATTCGCTGGCAGGTCTGTGCAACGTGGACTGGCCTGATGCTATCAGCATACGTATGCGCCGTGTGTTGCAAGTGCTGTCCACTGCAGTGCAGTGCACCTGAGTGATGTGAGCATACGCAGCAATGAGCATCCCCCGGTTCACTTGAGTGCTCGCACCTGTTGTCAGCACCCTTGCCGCTCCATGACACAATGTACAATCTTGGTCACTTGTCACTCCCTGCGCGCCTGCATTCCCAATGTGTCCGTTCCCTTCCCTCATCCCTCTTTCCTGATCCCTCATCTCTCCCCCCCCCTCCCTCCCCTCCCCCCTTCCCCAACCCTTTCCCTGTGGGCGGTGCAGCGTGCTGGATTCGCAGGGCATCAGCGGGTCCATTCCCGAGGTCATCACCGGGCTTAGCTTCCTCCGAGTGCTGTGAGTGCCACTAGCTGCCGTGCTGTGAGCGCTGGGAGCGATGCGTGTGGTCCGCTGAGGAGGAGGAGGAGGTGGGGAAGAGCGAGGAGGTTGGGGACGGGGAGGAGGGAGAGGGGAAAATGCAGGGCAATGTGTCAGACAATGCTTGTGCATGTACCTGTGTCACTGTTACGGACATCATTGATTGTAGCACCAGCACAATGCCGCAATGCTGGACGTTGATTTTCATATGTGTGTTCTTGCGGTTGGTGGTGTGTGTGTGTGTGTGTGTGTGTGTGTGTGTGTGTGTGTGTGTGTGTGTGTGTGTGTGTGTGTGTGTGTGTGTGTGCGTGTGTGTGTGCACGTGCGTGTGTGTCGTGCACGCTTGCTTGCATGTGTGCGTGCGTGCATGAGTGTGTGTGCGTGTGCACGCCCATGTGTACTCCCTGGCAGATCCGTCTGGGACAACGAGCTCACTGGCCCCTTACCGTCTTTCATCAGCGCCTTTGCATCTCTCTCAGAGCTGTACGCCCCATTCGTCCTTCCATGTTTCCTCCCATACCTCCTCTTATCCCCTCTTCCCCCCTTCTCCCCCTTCCATTCCTTCCACCAACTCTCATTCGTCTTCAGCCTCCAATCTCTGCGTATCCATCTGTCTCCATCTGTCTCCATCTGTCTCCATCTGTCTCCATCTGTCTCCATATGTCTCCCGTGGCCAAGTCCGCAGTATTGACGATAACAGACTGGTTTTGAGGTGCCTCAAAACTAGACTTCTCTTGTTCGTGTTCAGCCTCCAATCTCTGCATCTCGCTTGGCCAAGTCTGCAATTTCGACGATACCAACCCTTTCCCCCCTCCACCTCACCTCACCCTTTCATTTGTTGTCCTCCTCTCCTCTCCCCTCCCCTCCCTTCTTCTTCCCTGCCCCGTGTTCGCTCACAGCAACTTGGGGAGCAACCAGCTCACTGGGTCCCTCCCAGCTACACTGTCTGTCCTCACCTTGCTTCAGACGATGTAAGCTCACCATGCTGTGCCATCACTCACTCGCGCATACCTCCCCTCCCATCCCCTCCTGCACTGGCATCTCTCTTGCCCAACCAGGTGCCATTACACCCACATAGTTTAATTTAAACCCATCCCATCCCGTCGCATTCCTTCCACCTCATCCCATCCCATTCATGCTGGCATGTAGGGAACAACGAATTGCTAAGATCTCTCATGTTCCGCCAATGCCAGGGACATGAGTGGCAACCAGCTTGAGGGGCCAGTACCTTCGGAGCTCACCGCGCTGACCGCCCTTCAAGACCTGTGAGCGCCACACTGCTTTACTTCCTCCCTTTCTAAGTTGCTCTAAACACGTATGGCGTTTGATACGCTAGCGTTTATACGCTATACGTTTTTTTGGGGCCACGTATTTGCTAGGCATACGCTTGTCCGGGCAGGCGGGAAAAAAATCCCCGGGCAGGGAAAAAAACGGTGTCTAGGGAAGGGGGAATGTGGTGTGGGGCATACTTCTTTATTGCAACATGAACCAGAGAAAATATTTCAGCTAAGGCATGAATAACCGCCATGTCAAGGTTTCATCCATGTCGACGTGGCGCTGTGTAAAAAACAAGGCGATGTGGTGCTTCCTAAGCTACGATTCCAGCTTAATCTGCCACCTAATGCGGCTGGTAGATTACGCGATACGTTTTAGGTTTAGCGTGTTTGGTGGTAGAGGTAGACAGAGCACATTTGACGTTTGGTTGGGTTTGGTAAATGCCCTGGGGTGCAGTGCGTTGGGGGGGGAGATGGGTTGGAAGTTCGATTTGGGCGAAAATTTGGGGTCTCGACATTTCGCGATAGTGTGGGTGTCTTCGTCACGCAAAGTGGCAATCGACTTTTTTTCTTTCTTTCTTTCTTTTTCCTTGACGGGCTGCCCCCGAAATTTCAGCCGAGCATATAGCGTTTATTATACGCTCGTATAGCGTACAGCACGCTGCGTATATACGCTATACGCTGCAGAGCCTGAGCGCTTATTGCAAGCAACTTAGCTCCCTCCCTCTCCAAGCCATGCCTGCGCACGGTGTGAGTGCCTCGAGCCTTAGTCAGTTTCCTCTGGATCATAGATGCTGCTTGCCACCCACCCCCGTTTCCTCCCTCCCCACGTCCTCTTGTGCTCCCCACCCCACGCGGATCCTTCCTTCCTCCTTTCCTTCCTTCTTTCCTTCCTTCCTCCTTCCTTCTTCCCGTCCTTCCTTCTTTCTTTCCTTCAAGTGGGATCACGCTCTTCTATCCCACGTACTGTCTCAACTTTATGGGACGCATGCAATCCGAATCCACTGTTTCCTGTGAAGTCGTCCCAGTCATCATGCCAGCTCCTCACCCGCCGTCTGCTCCCCCTCCCTCCTGTTCTACCACCTCTGCACCTCCCACTCCCCTCCATTCTCCTCCTCTCTGTCCTCGTCCTCGTTTCCCACACAGCTTGTCCCCCTTTCCTCTCCCCACTGTCTCTCCACCGCGCCAGGCGCCTGCAGAGCAATCGGCTCACAAGCAGCCTGCCAGTGGAGCTTAGCAAGCTGACGGCTCTCAGCAACCTGTGAGTGCCGTGCCGCCTTTGGGCACAGCCCACCAGTTTGCTGTGCACATGCGAGTGCCTCTGTGCAAGCGCCCGCTGTTGGTCACGTCTGCCCTCTCTCTACCCCCCCAGCTCCCTCACACTCACTCGCTTCGATTTGACTCTGTGTGCTCATCACCTTCCATTCAGCTCTCATTTATGAGCTCTCCTCGCTGGGTCCAGTCCAAAGCACTTGACTTGAGAGGTGAAACGGTGTTGTATCTGAGACGCCTAAGAAACTGGCTTGTGTGTGAACTGGCTTGTGCGTGAACTGGCTTGTGCGTGAACTCGCTTGTGTGTGAACTCGCTTGTGCGTGAACTGGCTTGTGTGTGAACTGGCTTGTGTGTGAACTGGCTTGTGTGTGAACTGGCTTGTGTGTGAACCGGCTTGTGTGTGAACTGGCTTGTGCGTGAACTGGCTTGTGCGTGAACTGGCTTGTGCGTGAACTGGCTTGTGCGTGAACTGGCTTGTGCGTGAACTGGCTTGTGCGTGAGCTGGCTTGTGCGTGAGCTGGCTTGTGTGTGAACTGGCTTGTGTGTGAACTGGCTTGTGCGTGAACTGGCTTGTGCGTGATCTGGCTTGTGCGTGAACTGGCTTGTGCGTGAACTGGCTTGTGTGTGAACTGGCTTGTGTGTGAACTTGCTTGTGTGTGAACTGGCTTGTGTGTGAACCGGCTTGTGTGTGAACTGGCTTGTGCGTGAACTGGCTTGTGCGTGAACTCGCTTGTGTGTGAACTCGCTTGTGCGTGAACTGGCTTGTGTGTGAACTGGCTTGTGTGTGAACTGGCTTGTGTGTTAACTGGCTTGTGTGTTAACCGGCTTGTGTGTGAACTGGCTTGTGCGTGAACTGGCTTGTGCGTGAACTGGCTTGTGCGTGAACTGGCTTGTGCGTGAACTGGCTTGTGCGTGAACTGGCTTGTGCGTGAGCTGGCTTGTGCGTGAGCTGGCTTGTGTGTGAACTGGCTTGTGTGTGAACTGGCTTGTGCGTGAACTGGCTTGTGCGTGATCTGGCTTGTGCGTGAACTGGCTTGTGCGTGAACTGGCTTGTGTGTGAACTGGCTTGTGTGTGAACTTGCTTGTGTGTGAACTGGCTTGTGTGTGAACTTGCTTGTGTGTGAACTGGCTTGTGCGTGAACTGGCTTGTGCGTGAACTGGCTTGTGCGTGAACTGGCTTGTGCGTGAACTCGCTTGTGTGTGAACTCGCTTGTGCGTGAACTGGCTTGTGTGTGAACTGGCTTGTGTGTGAACTCGCTTGTGTGTGAACTCGCTTGTGTGTGAACTCGCTTGTGCGTGAACTGGCTTGTGCGTGAACTGGCTTGTGCGTGAACTGGCTTGTGTGTGAACTGGCTTGTGTGTGAACTCGCTTGTGAGTGAACTGGCTTGTGCGTGAACTGGCTTGTGTGTGAACTGGCTTGTGCGTGAACTGGCTTGTGCGTGAACTGGCTTGTGCGTGAACTGGCTTGTGTGTGAACTGGCTTGTGTATGAACTGTCTTGTGCGTGAACTTGCTTGTGCGTGAACTGGCTTGTGCGTGAACTGGCTTGTGCGTGAACTGGCTTGTGTGTGAACTCGCTTGTGCGTGAACTGGCTTGTGTGTGAACTGGCTTGTGTGTGAACTCGCTTGTGTGTGAACTCGCTTGTGTGTGAACTCGCTTGTGCGTGAACTGGCTTGTGTGTGAACTGGCTTGTGTGTGAACTGGCTTGTGTGTGAACTGGCTTGTGTGTGAACTCGCTTGTGCGTGAACTCGCTTGTGTGTGAACTGGCTTGTGGGTGAACTGGCTTGTGTGTGAACTCGCTTGTGTGTGAACTCGCTTGTGCGTGAACTCGCTTGTGCGTGAACTGGCTTGTGCGTGAACTGGCTTGTGTGTGAACTGGCTTGTGTGTGAGCTGGCTTGTGTGTGAGCTGGCTTGTGTGTGAACTGGCTTGTGTGGGAACTGGCTTGTGTGTGAACTGGTTCCCTTCCCCCTGTGCTTTGGTTGGTCCAGGATGCTTGACAGCAACTTCTTTTCGGGCTCTCTGCCTGAATCCTGGACGGAGTTGACTCTGCTTCAAGAACTGTCAGCAACCTCTTTCCCCCCTCCATCCCTCCCTCCTCCCCCCCTCCCCCTCTCCGCTCCTCTCTCTCGTGCGCTCTCTCCCTCTGTCACACCCACACATACGCACGCTCACACTTTTCACACACACTTGCACATCCATGTACACGTAACATATGCAGTGCAGATGCATGCACACACCCACTCCTCGCTGCTGCTGTGAGCTTGTGCGGCCCCATTTCTCCTACCCCTCTAACCTTTGCTGCCACCCTGCACCCTGTCACCTGCGCACTTGTATCAAGTTACACTCCGCCACTTGCAGTATTCTCATATTTTTCCTGTCACTCCCACCAACTCCTCCCCCACCCACCTCCCCCCCCCTTCCCCCCCCCGTCCTCCATTTTTTCCCCCGGTCGTCTACCGCATCGGCCTGCATCCCCCCCCCATCCACACCCCTTCTCTTGGTCTCAGCCATGCGTCGCGCAACTGGCTGTCTGGCAGTGTCCCAAGCTCATGGACTGCACTCAGTAGGCTCAGCGTCCTGTAAGCACAGCGTGCCCCAAAAACCTTGTTCTGTGCTGTAAGCACATTATTTGGGAAGACTTCATGGTGGTAGGGAAGACTTAAAGCGCTTGCTATGCTTACATGGTTACACCTCCACAGCAGCCTTTGCTAAATTCCTCCATCCATGCTGTGCCGTTCCGCCCATCATCTGCCGTCAATACCTGAGGTCTACAGACTATACACCTGGCACTGTTATTTTGCATTGCATGCTGACTTGACCCTGCTCCTGCTCCTGCTCGTGCTCGTGCTCCTGCTGCTGCTGCTGCTGTCGTGGCTGCTGATAATGGCATGTTTATTGCTGCCATTCGCCCCTGCGTGCAGAGACCTGGGTTACAACATGCTGTCTGGCTCCTTATTCGGATTCAATTTCCGCAGCATCCCTAGCCTCGCTCATCTGTGAGACATCACACTTGCCTCCTATCGTGTGCTTCTTCCTGTCTCCTTGCTCCTGCTGCTCCTGCTCCTGCTGCTGCTCCTGCTCCTGCTCCTGCTCCTGCTCCTGCTCCTGCTCCTGCTGCTGCTGCTGCTCCTGCTCCTGCTCCTGCTCCTGCTGCTGCTCCTGCTGCTGCTCCTGCTCCTGCTCCTGCTCCTGCTCCTGCTCCTGCTCCTGCTCCTGCTCCTGCTCCTCCTCCTGCTCCTGCTGCTGCTCCTGCTCCTGCTCCTGCTCCTGCTCCTGCTCCTGCTCTCGCCCCTGCTCCTGCTCCTGCCACTGCCATTGCTGTTGCTGTGGTAGCTTGGGTACCATCGCTACTGCGAATCGTCTGTTGCTTCTTTATTTATGTTTACTCCTGCTGTTACTGTTGCCGCTTGCAAGAGTGCTAGGATTGCTTTTTCCGCCGTCACTGCTGCTGCAGTTGTATCGATATCCTGGGTACCTTTCTGTGATATTTGTTTACGGCTTCTGGCAATCCTGCCTGCCCTAATCTGTTGTTCTGTGCTGTGCTGTGCTGTAATGCCATCTGTTATGCGATGCCTGTTTTTCCAGTCTGTTAAATGGTAACAGTTTGGAGGGGCCCCTTCCCACTCAATTCCTCAGCCTCAAAACCATGTCAGTCTTTGCTGTGTCCCACACTCCATCTCTCAAATCTCTTCTGTCCATCTCTTTTAACCTGGAATGCCCTCCAATATTTGTTGTTGAATTTACACATCTTCCCATGGCATCTGCACACCAATGCGCTCCTCCTTTTCCCCTCCTCCTCCTCTCCTCCTCCTCCTCCTCCTCCTCCTCCTCCTCCTCCTCCTCCTCCTCCTCCTCCTCCTCCTCCTCCTCCTCCTCCTCCTCCTCCTCCTCCTCCTCCTCCTCCTCCTCCTCCTCCTCCTCCTCCTCCCCCCCCCCTCCCACCCCCCCTCCCCCCCCATCTCTATTCTTCCTCGATTCCTCTATGCCACCTGCCTTATGCCTTCCTTCACCACGTGCACGCCCCCTCCCCCTCGCTTGCCGCACTCCCAATCTCAGTGCGCTGGGCGGCAACGCCTTCACTGGCGACTTCCCTGAGTCCTACAGCATTGCCTCCCTCCAGCACCTGTGCGTCTGCTCTCGTAGCCCCGTTCAGTATGAAGTTTTTTCTCAGCAGGGAGGTTTTTCTAGAGGGCGTTTTTTTGTGACACAGAAACCCAGCACATTGACCTTTGGTTTGGGATTGTGCCGGGGAGCATGTCTATCTTAGGGGAAGTGCTGCGAGCGAGGCTACTGCAACTTGTAGGGTCCGGGAGAGGCCGTGGTGGAAAAGTCTGGTTGTGGATTCTAAGGTGTTGCTTGGTCCACTGTGGGTTGCTGTGCTGTGCTGTGAGAATGGTACACACCGCAAGTGTGCCGCGTGCAACAGTGGGTGAATGTAGTGCGCTATCGAGTATATCTATCATCCACGCACTTGCTGCCGTGCGTCCTCTGTGTTGCACAACTGTTCTCCCCATACATTCTCTTTCGGTTTTGTATCTCTCTGACTGCACGCCTGCATGGCAGCAACATCAGCCACAACCTGTTGGGTTCCGTGCTCCCAGCCTCCCTATCAACCTTCCAGTCCCTCCGAGTGCTGTAAGTACTTGCCAAGCACCCCCTCGCCCTCCCTCGTGTTGAGGCGTCTCTGAGCCGTGTCTGAGCTAGAGCCTCCTCGTGTCTGCGTGCCTCTCTCACTCTGCGTGCCTCTCTCACACTCTGCGTGCCTCTCTCACTCTCAAAATCGATAGCAGATAGAGAGGGATCACAGACCATGCAGCCCACAGTTTTTATCTTGCGTTGTTGCTTTGCCTAGTGTCGTAGAGCTCCCAGACGATTTCTTTCCAAGTATCCGGCTGGATACTACTACTGCTTGCCGTGGCACTGTGGCTCCAGTATTGGTCCGGCTGGATTCGTCTCCTCCTGTGTTATGTAGCTTACTCATACCTCCTCATCTCTTCCATTTCGCACAAGTCCACCAGTCCCTAAGTAATCTATACAGCCAACCGAGTCCGCTTATCCCCTGACTGGAGGGCTTTGTGTACTGTCTCAGGCCTGAGCTTGGACTGTGGGTTCACTCTTTTGCAGCATGCAGAATGAAAGCTCCCTTGCACCCGCTGTTTTGTTCATTGCCCCGATTCTCCCAGAGACATTTCAGGAAACACTTTTTTCGGGCAGTTTCCTATACTGCCTGCAATGCTGGAACACCTGTAAGGCCCCTGTTCCCGTCGTCTTGCCTTCTTGCCTTCTCTTTCTCCCCCCTTCGCTCTCTGTCCCTTCTTCTCCCCGTCCCTCTCTGTCCTCGTCCCTCTCTGTCCTCGTCCCTCTCCTACCTCCCACTCCCTCTCCTCCTCCCAAATCCACCCCCTCCCATCTACCAAGCTCGAAATTCCGCGCTTCTTTCACTTCCATTCTCGTATTTGAACCTGCTCACAACACAACGACCCCCGCTCACAACCACTTTCGGATGTCTTGACACCATGTCAGGGACATCGGCAACAACATGATGTTTGGGCCCATACCGCCATCAATCACCACTCTCAAGCAGCTCTCCTTCCTGTGAGCTCCTAGCATTCCCGTGAGCTCGTGGCATTCCTGTGATTGTCATGACATGCTGTCTGTCCGTGGTTATCTAGTGCATTTACTTGGCTTGGCATACTCATGCCGTGGTCCCATACTATCACACCCATCCGTCCATCCCATACTCTCTGCGCATACCCATGCCGTGGTCCCTCACAGCTCTGCTGACAGCTGTGGACTCCATAACAGCGATGTGGCTCTCCTCCCCGCCATCACCTCCCTCAAGCACCTGTGAGCCCGCAAGCACCTGTGAGCCCTAAAGCACCTGTGAGCCCTCAAGCACCTAGGCCTGTGCAAAAGGCCCAGCCCAGAAAATCACGGGCACAGGCCGCCCGTCCCCTAAACTCGGCCCGTACTCAGGTGGGCCGGGTCAGCCCGGCCTGCCCCCGACCCACCCCCGGGCTAAGGCCAACCCGACCCCGAAACCCGGGCGCGGGCCGGGGAGTTCCCGAAGTCGGCCAGACCTTGGCTCCGCCCAGCACGGCCCGACCCAAAGTCGGGCAGAGCAGAATCTGGCTGGGCCTATGCTCATGCCTGCAAAATATGTGAGCCCCGAAGCACCTGTGAGCCTTGAAGAACCTGTGAGCCCTGGAGCACCTGTGAGCCCTGAAGCATCTGTGAGGCCTGAAGCACCTGTGAGCCCTGAAGCACCTGTGAGCCCAGCAACACCTGTGAGCCCTGCAACACACAGCGCAGTGCTTTGGTTACGCATCACAGTGTACCTGGGGAGACTGAGTGTGTGCTGAGCAGTGCTGGAGAAGGCATATGGCACAGGGAGGAAAGGGTGATCAACCGCCGCTGTTCGCTCTCCTTATGCCCTTTGCATCCATGTGCTGCGCTCATGCATTCCGTTGCATCCCACACCCCGCCCTTTTCTTCCATCCCTCTGCATGCATCGCATTGCATCCCATCCCATGGCATGATTGTGTTGCGTCCCATTGGATCCGTTTGCATTCCCGGCAGGTCACTGAATGGCAACAGCGCCATCTCATCGCTGCCCGATGCACTCACCAAACTCACCGCCCTCACAGCACTGTACGCACCCTCACTCGCCTCCTCTCCTCCCCTCGTCTCCGCTCCTCAGTTTTCTTGACACCACCCACATCCTTGTTTCTTCTGGCTTGCTGCTGCTGCTGCTGCTGCTGCTGCTGCTGGTTGACATGCAGTGCAGGCCACATGCAGCACTTCTTCTCCCTTCTGCCACCAATATGCAGGGCTAACCGGCTGGAATAGCCACTGCAATAGCCTCTCTAGCTCTGCGTGCCCACTTACTGATGTCTGGTGCCCCGTGCCCCCTCCTCCTCGTCCGTCTCCCCTCCCCCCCTCCCTCCCCCCCTCCCTCCCTCCCTCCCTCCCTCCCCCCCTCCCTCCCTCCCTCCCTCCCTCCCTCCCTCCCTCCCTCCCTCCCTCCCTCCCTCCCTCCCTCCCTCCCTCCCTCCCTCCCTCCCTCCCTCCCTCCCTCCCTCCCTCCCTCCCTCCCTCCCTCCCTCCCTCCCTCCCTCCCTCCCTCCCTCCCTCCCTCCCTCCCTCCCTCCCTCCCTCCCTCCCTCCCTCCCTCCCTCCCTCCCTCCCTCCCTCCCTCCCTCCCTCCCTCCCTCCCTCCCTCCCTCCCTCCCTCCCTCCCTCCCTCCCTCCCTCCCTCCCTCCCTCCCTCCCTCCCTCCCTCCCTCCCTCCCTCCCTCCCTCCCTCCCTCCCACCCATCATCGCCCCATGGCCAGGCACGTGTGCAATGTCAGCATATCTGGGGCCTTTCCTACCGGTGCTACGTCTACCCTTTCCAAGCTCGCGCACCTGTGAGTCCCCTTCTTCCTTCCCCCGTCCTCCCCCCCCTCTCCCTCTGCCTCCTTTCCCTGCGCAAAGCTTGTGGTTCGAGTCCCCGTGGTGGCATGCAAGCTCTCAGGGTTTCCTGGTTTGGAAGGGGGTGTCAGTCAGAAGCGGTGCCGATGCCTTGAGTTCAGTACCAATCTCCCTATGAATGCTGTGTGAGAAGCTTATCTTCCCCTCCCCCTGCTCCTTCTCCCTTCTCCCTGTCCCACTCTTCCCCTTACTCTGCGTACTCCCTCTCTCCCCCCCCGCTCCCTCGCTCCTCCACATCTCCCCCCGTTCCTCTCGTTCCCTTCCCTCTCGCGTTCTACCCTACCCCTTCCCACTCCTGTTTCTCCAGGAGCCTTTGCGGCAATATTCTTGGGCCCGGGCTGCCCAGCGAGCTTGCAAAACTCAAGGAGCTGACTGCAATGTGAGTTGGGGGGTGAGATGAGATGGCAACCTGATCCTGCAAGCATTTTCCATGCATCATCACCCTCTCACGTGCCACATCGCACCACCACTGCGTTCTCAACTTCCTTCCAGCCAGCAGCGGTTTCCCTATGAGGCAAGTGTCAAACAGTTTGCGCACTCAAGGCACACAAAGAAGGCTCGGCGCTTATCAAGCGGTGGCGCGGCAGTGGTTCCGTGCCTACCTGCTCTCTTTCTCCCTGGTCCATATCACGACTCATGATGTGCTGCCGCCCGCCCCATTTGCTGTGTCAGAAATGTGGCCGACAACAGATTCACAGGGATTGTTCCCGGCACCTTATTCTCGCTGCCCCTCCTTCAATACATGTGCGTGCCGTGCCTCTAGCCTCTGTGCGACTAGTCGCTGTGCCTCTCTGCGAGCCAGAATGTTGAGACATCTCAAAACTGGTCACTGGGCCTCTCTGCAAGCCAACGGTCCATTTGTCAGCGTGCCTCCTGTCGCTGTGCCTTTGTGCCCCATCCATCTGCTATCCTCATCGCTGCATGAACATCCTATGTCTCATTCCTCCTCCCCCCCCCTCGAAACCTGGTGGGCTGCATTGCAGTGGTAGTATCTACGTCAACGGTTTTTCCTGTTGCTACCTTGCCCCTAACCCCTCCTCCCCCGTCCAGCGACCTGAATGGCAATGGCTTTGTGGGGTTGGCTCTTCCAGCTGGTGCCAATCTTGCGCCGCTCAAGACTCTGTGCGTTGAAATGCTTTGGGACGAAGTGAACCGTGTCCCTTCCCTTGTGTTTCTCATGCTGGTCATTTCAGTCTTAAATTTTAGGGAGTATGCTGCATGCGGTGGTGCATTGTGCCAAGGGGATGAAGTCAGATGGCTGTGATGTGATGTGATGTGATTATACTCTCCCCATTTAATAGAAGACCATGCATCATCATTACCATCATGTTCACACATATCCATGGGCCACATGCATGCATCATGTTCACGCTCATGCATCACAGTTACATGCATGCATGTCAAACATGTTGATTGCGCCTCCCCCCCCGTGCGCGTCACCTGCGCAAACGCCTCGGGTTCAACACCTGCTCACAGCAAGTTGGGCAGCAACAAGCTCTCTGCAATCCCTCCCTTCGTGTCCTCTCTTGCTGCCTTGCAGCACCTGTAAGCCTCCCTTGCATGCATGGACATTGCGCATGCGCAGGCACACAAGCATGCACACACACACACATGCACGCGCATACGCACATGCACATGCACTTGCACACACACACACACACACACACACACACACACGCACGCACGCACGCACGCACCCACGCACCCACGCACCCACACGCACACACACACGTACACATATACACACATGCATGCACACTCGCATGGAGTGCAACCTTGAAACACAGCAGAGGTTGTAGGGCACACTAAAAGCAGGGGACGAATGCTACTCTTGTGCGGATGTCTTGTGTTGTATGCATGCGATGTACGTATATGCATGCGTGCGTAAGTGCCCGTGGTTACACGTCTCCCCTGCATGCATGGATGCATGCATGTGTGTCCTTGCAGTGACGTGAGTAACAACAGTCTCTCGGGCCCACTTCCACCCATCGTCACTACACTGGCAACTTTGCAGCACTTGTAAGGACTTCCTCCACCCAGCTCTCACACCCACCCGCCTACATGCCTCACTTCAAAATCTCGATATAACCAACCAAGTGTGTCCCATCCTCTGCTGCTCTCTGCACGCTCTGCTCTCTGCACGCTCTGCTCTCTGCACGCTCTGCTCTCTGCACGCTCTGCTCTCTGCACGCTCTGCTCTCTGCACGCTCTGCTCTCTGCACGCTCTGCTCTCTGCACGCTCTGCTCTCTGCACGCTCTGCTCTCTGCACGCTCTGCTCTCTGCACGCTCTGCTCTCTGCACGCTCTGCTCTCTGCACGCTCTGCTCTCTGCACGCTCTGCTCTCTGCACGCTCTGCTCTCTGCACGCTCTGCTCTCTGCATGCTCTGCTCTCTGCACGCTCTGCTCTCTGCATGCTCTGCTCTCTGCATGCTCTGCTCTCTGCACACTCTGCTCTCTGCATGCTCTGCTCTCTGCACGCTCTGCTCTCTGCATGCTCTGCTCTCTGCACGCTCTGCTCTCTGCACGCTCTGCTCTCTGCATGCTCTGCTCTCTGCACGCTCTGCTCTCTGCATGCTCTGCTCTCTGCACACTCTGCTCTCTGCATGCTCTGCGCTGTATATGGCCACTCCATCCAGATGAACTTCGAGCCAATCCCCATGGTGCTCTGCGCTTTGAACTCCAAACCCCGCCCTGCATGCCCTGCTGCTCTCTCACTTTACATCTACGCACGCACCAACCGTCTCTGCTCTATTGCCATGCCAGCATCCCATAAATAATGCCTGTCCATTCCACGGTCCACCACCAACCACCCACCCACCCACCACCACTACCGTGTGTCGCTGTTGCTCTGTTGTCGCTTGTCTCTCACTCTCCCAGGGACCTGAGCCGCAACAGCCTGGCAGGCGAATTCCCCATGACCTTGTCTTCCCTTTCGTCTCTCGAGCACCTGTCAGTCCCCTTAGACTCTCCATTGTTGAAGTGTTGATGAACTCAAGTGGTGATTCGCTCAATTCAGCACAAGGCTATGCATACTCTATCGAACTCCCTTCTCCTCCCTACGCGCTGTTCTGTTAGGTTATAGCCTGCTGCGGCTGAGATTCTTTCCTCGTACCACATGCTGTTGTGTTGACCGTGTGCATCGCATCGGTCAGCCATAGTTTCAGTTCAGATCCAACTCTGTTCTGTGGTCTGGCAGAGACCTCTCTCGCAACAAGTTTGAGGGCATGTTGCCGACTCTCACGGATCTTTCCCTCTTGACAACCGTGTAAGTGATTCTCTCTGTGATCATGTCACCTTGACTTGGAAATCATTCTCCCTTTTTTTCTCCCTCAGGCAGTCCCCTTTTTTTCTCTCTCAGGCGGCCCCTTTTTTCTCTCGCTCTCTCTCTCCAAACTGATGTACTCAGCCACACTGGGTCGTCCCTCCCTTTGCCTGCAGAAATCTGGGGTTCAACAGCTTCTTTGGCCCTGTGATTACCGCTCTGGGCAGCATCAGCAACCTCCAAGAGATGTACATCGCGCTGCTTTTTGCTTGCTGCGTGCTGCTTGCTGCGCTGCTGCTTCAATTGTGCTCTTTCCCCGCGATTAGCTTCCGCACGAGGTCCTGTTATCTGCTTCCTCGCTCTCCTTTCCCCTCACTCTCCCCTCACTTTCCCCTCACTCTTTCTGCCAGTAATCTGCAGAGCAACAGTCTGCAGGGGCAGCTTGACCCGGGCTTCAGTGACTTCACGGTTCTCAAGACACTGTGAGAGATGCCCGCTACTGACACATGTGTGCAATGTCCGCTGGTTCAGCCAGACATGCCAGTCTCGCTCCCTCTCAAGGGGTCCTGCTCATTGATCAAAGCTGAGCAAACAGAGAGGAGCGACTAGGCATGCGGAGAGCGGCAAACAGAGAGGAGCGACTAGGCATGCGGAGAGCGGCAAACAGAGAGGAGGGACTAGGCATGCGGAGAGCGGCAAACAGAGAGGAGCGACTAGGCATGCGGAGAGCGGCAAACAGAGAGGGGCGACTAGGCATGCGGAGAGCGGCAAACAGAGAGGAGGGACTAGGCATGCGGAGAGCGGCAAACAGAGAGGAGCGACTAGGCATGCGGAGAGCGGCAAACAGAGAGGAGCGACTAGGCATGTGGAGAGCGGCAAACAGAAAGGAGCGACTAGGCATGCGGAGAGCCGCAAACAGAGGGGACAAAGCAGCAAAGCTCAACAAGTCATCGAAGGGAGCAACGAATCAGTCCTCCCGCCTCTGTCCTAAGGCAGCAGCCTCTCTCCTCTGATCCCTCTATCCCCCCCAGGGTCTAGCGATCCTCCACATCCATGGTAGGGGTCGCTCCCTCTCTGTCTCTCCCTCTTTTTCCTCGCTCTTCACTCTGCCTTCCACCTCTCTCACTCTCTCTCTTCTTTCCTGCTCCCCTTTGCACCACTCCATCTCCCCTTTCCACACTGCAGTGTGTTGTCTGACAACAGCATCCAGGGTGCACTACCAACTGGCTACTACCAAATCGCCAGCCTGCAGCATCTGTGCGTGCACCTGCACCTGCACGTGCACCTGCACGTGCACCTGCACCCAAACCCAGTAGCCTACTCGAGTTAGCTTGCTAGTTATCTTGGAGTGTCTCTTATGTGCGTGTGCTCGTTCCTAGATGTGTTGGCCTGTGAGATCGAACCATCACCCATGCTATGTGTTTCACGCACCGGTCTTGTGCGTGCGGCTTTTTGCTGTGCCTATGTCCTGTGCCTGTATGCTGTGTCTGGCGCTTGCCACCAGGGACATGAGCAGCAACCAGTTCTCAGGCTCGCTTCCCAATGTGTGGAAGTCCCTCGCCAGCCTCAAAACCTTGTGAGACCATCACTGTTCCCACCGCTCACCTGCCATTTGTGCTCCTCCTCCTCCTCCTCCTCCTCCTCCTCCTCCTCCTCCTCCTCCTCCTCCTCCTCCTCCTCCTCCTCCTCCTCCTCCTCCTCCTCCTCCTCCTCCTCCTCCTCCTCCTCCTCCTCCTCCTCCTCCTCCTCCTCCTCCTCCTCCTCCTCCTCCTCCTCCTCCTCCTCCTCCTCCTCCTACTCCTACTCCTACTATCCTTGCATGCCATTTGTGTAAGAGTAACACCTCTCGTGCTTTGCAATTGACTTTGCGCTTCCCTTCACATCGCTCCTGCATGCCCTTCCCCTCATCTGTGCTGCACCTCTGTACCGTCGGCACAGGAACCTCTTTCACAACCGTGTGATAGTAGTTAAGTTTTGAGACGTCCCAAACAGCATGCCTTCTTTTTTCATCTGTGCTGTGCTTCTGTGCCCTCGCCACAGGAACCTCTCGCGCAATGGCCTGACTGGTAGCGTCCCGGACCAATGGAGTGACCTCAGCAGCCTTACTGCTCTGTAAGCACGTGCATGCGGATGCAGCAACAGCAGAAACACCATCTGCTGTTCCTCCATCTACCTCCATGCTCCATCACTCCCCTCTCTCCGCGTGAAGGCGTTAGTCCAGTATTTTGGTGCCTCAAACCTGGCTGTCCCTCCATCTGCCTCCTGCACCATCCATCACTCCGCTCTCTCCCCAACTCACACACATCTCTCCTCCTCCTGACCCCACCCCTTCCCCCTGTTGAACCGCACCTGTGCGGTGGCCTCTGAACTGCACTGCCACAGTGATCTGTCGTACAACAATCTGGAGGGCGATCTTACGACGTTTATCGTGGAGGCCTTGACTTACCTTGCACACCTGTGAGCAGTTGCGCTTGGTATTGATCAGCTTCACTAGGAGCAGCCTCACTAGGAGCAGCTGCACTAGTAGCAGCTTCACTAGGAGCAGCTTCACTAGGATCAGCTTCACTAGGAGCAGCTTCACTAGGATCAGCTTCACTAGGATCAGCTTCACTAGGAGCAACTTCAAGAGGAGCAGCTTCACTAGGAGCAGATTCCTTGTCTGCATGGTGCTAGCATCCCTCAAAGCATCCCCTCTGCTCTTACTTCAGCCTCCTTTCTCGGGGCATTACCACATACCATCCCATCCCATCCCATCCCATCCCCTCACCCCCACCCACCAGTCGCCTGAACGACAACACTTTCAAGGGCCCAATGCCGACGCACTTCACAGTGCTTTCGCGCCTCAACACCGTGTCAGCACCACCACCTCCCACCTTCCACCGCCTTTCCCTACCTTCCACCCTCCCTCGCTGCACATTTTGAGTTGACCGAAGAATTACAGCCTTCCAGCCTCCCTCACCACCCCTTCCCCATCTTGTTCTCTGCCAAAATGTGTTCCTGTGCTCTGCCCTTGTGCTTCCCTGTGCACCTTCTGTTGCGCATTCGTCTGTGCCTGCACTCCAACCCCCTCCATCTGCCCCTCCCCTCCCCCTTCCCTCCCCTGCCGTCGTCCTTCTGTGACCGTGCGAAACTCATGATGCGACAGTGGTTCGAGTTTAGAGTGACTCGGCAGTGGGCTCCCTGACACCTCTCTCGCTCCCGCTCTCTCATTGCTGCACCGGTGCCATCATCCGTTTTTTAGGCTCCTCAAAAATCATCATCCGTCTTTCCTGCTGCAGGTCCCTCAGTAACAACGCCTTCTTCGGCGATATTTCAGGATTCTTCGGACGCTTTCCCATGCTCACTTATGGGTAGGCTTAAAAAACGGCCTCTAGCCCCATTCCATTCAGCTCTTCCCCTTGCCCTCTGCCTCTTTCACTTGCCCACTTTCACTGCCTCTGTCCGCTAGTTCTCTGTGTCTTTCCTTTTTGCCCTAACTCTAACGCTCCTGCCTCATCTGGTGCCCCCCCCCCCCCCCCCACGCCTATCCGCAGCAACCTCAGCCACAACCAGCTCTTTGGTCAATTGTCAGAGGAATTCGCAGGCGCCCGAGCTCTTCAAGTGCTGTCAGTCGCCTTCCTAACCCTCAAACCATGCCTACTCCACTTCCAATACCCCTCCACCCGCCCCCCACCCCCCCCCACCCCCCCCCCCCCGCGCCCCTCTTTTTCTCCACACCACGCCTCTGATCTCTCCTCTTCTGCTGCTTACTCGCGGAATTTCGTTCGGGTACGGCTGTTGTGGCTGCAGCCATCCCCTCGCTCGTGTTGCTGGGGAGACAGAGTTCCCCTGCCCAGTTCGTTCTGATCTGATCTGAGGTCCCCTACATTCCAAGGCCTTCATTTCGTTTCGTTCTTGTGGTCTGACCATCCTCCCTCTCCCCATCTCTGCTACCGGCTTCTGTGTTATTAGCCAAGCCAGCTTATCTCGTCCTGTGGCATAAATCCCATGCATGCCTCATCTTATCACTCTTGCCATGAAGCCGCCCCATCATCTCTCCTCATCCTCCACACATCTTGCTTTCTTGCCTCACTCGCTGCTCTCTCATCCTTGCCTCACTGCACCATGGCACGGTGGCACCGCACCTCACTGGAGTGCTACAGGGACATGTCCCACAACATGATTGGAGGGGACCTAAACTTCATGAACGTTCTCAGTGCATCTACCATCAAATACCTGTAAGCCTACTGTCAACCCTATGGTCATCCCGTCATACCTATTCGCTGCACGGCCGTCCGCACACTTGTTGCCGCAGCTGCATACCTGCCATGCCATGCATCCGATCCGACCCACCTCCCCAGGCATCCGAACCAACCCCATACATCCGAACCAACCCACATGCATCCGACCCACCCGCCAATGCATCCGATCCACCTCCCCATGCATCCGATCCATCTCCCCATGCTGCCATCCCCTCTCAGGTCCTCGAGTGGGTCCCTCCCCTCCCCCCATCAAGATCCTGCATTTTCTTTCATCCAACATCATCATTTGGCACTACCTCCCGCCCTCTCCCTCTCCCTCAAGCGGTCATGCTCATTGATAAAAGCCTGGGAACAACTAAACAGCAGGGAGGTGCCTACCACGAGGTAACCCATACAAAGCAGTGGACCAAGTCCCTACACCCCCGCAATCCCCTATCCTTCCCCTACGCACCAGCCCTTCCCCTACCGCCCTGTTCCCTCCAGCTCAACCCCCCCTCCCACCAGGGTCTACGGATCCTCCACGTCCAAGGTAGAGAACAGGTCTCTCTCTCTCTCTCTCTCTCTCTCTCTCTCTCTCTCTCTCTCTCTCTCTCTCTCTCTCTCACTCTCTCTCTCTCTCTCTCTCTCTCTCTCCCTCTCTCTCTCTCTCTCTCTCTCTCTCTCTCTCTCTCTCTCTCTCTCTCTCTCTCTCTCTCTCTCCCCTCTCTCCTCTCTCCCGCATCCGTCTCCTCCTGCCCTTCCTCCTGCCTTCAGGGACCTTTCCTACAACGAGATTGCGGGCCAAATGCCCTGGCAGTTGTCACTTTTAACGGTCCTAGAGCATCTGTGAGTGCATCTCCGCCACCCCCTTTTGTCTGTCGTTGCCATCCCACTGCTTCCCCTCAGCTTCCCCTGTCTGTCATGACCGGGGCCTCCCTCATGCTCTCTTTCCTGTGGACTCGCTCCTAGCACTTGCAGAGTTCAGTTGCAGTACGTCTCCTTGCACACTCATTGCACACTCATTGCACACTCATTGCACACTCATTGCACACTCATTGCACACTCATTGCACACTCATTGCACACTCATTTCACACTCATTTCGCACTCATTGCACACTCATTGCACACTCATTGCACACTCATTGCACACTCATTTCACACTCATTTCACACTCATTGCACACTCATTTCACACTCATTGCACACTCATTGCACACTCATTGCACACTCATTTCACACTCATTGCACACTCATTTCACACTACTTGCACACTCATTTCAAACTCATTTCACTCTCATTTCACACTCATTGCACACTCATTGCACACTCATTGCACACTCATTGCACACTCATTGCACACTCATTGCACACTCATTGCACACTCATTGCACACTCATTTTACACTCATTGCACACTCATTGCACACTCATTGCATACTCATTGCACACTCATTGCACACTCATTTCACACTCATTGCACACTCATTTCACACTCATTTCACACTCATTTCACACTCATTGCACACTCATTGCACACTCATTGCACACTCATTGCACACTCATTGCACACTCATTGCACACTCATTGCACACTCATTGCACACTCATTGCACACTCATTGCACACTCATTGCACACTCATTGCACACTCATTGCACACTCATTGCACACTCATTGCACACTCATTGCACACTCATTGCACACTCATTGCACACTCATTGCACACTCATTGCACACTCATTGCACACTCATTGCACACTCATTGCACACTCATTTCACACTCATTTCGCACTCATTGCACACTCATTGCACACTCATTGCACACTCATTGCACACTCATTGCACACTCATTGCACACTCATTGCACACTCATTTCACACTCATTTCACACTCATTTCACACTCATTTCACACTCATTTCACACTCATTTCACACTCATTGCACACTCATTTCGCACTCATTTCACACTCATTTCGCACTCATTGCACACTCATTGCACACTCATTGCACACTCATTGCACACTCATTGCACACTCATTGCACACTCATTGCACACTCATTTCACACTCATTTCACACTCATTTCACACTCATTTCACACTCATTGCACACTCATTGCACACTCATTGCACACTCATTGCACACTCATTTCACATTCATTGCACACTCATTTCACACTCATTTCACACTCATTTCGCACTCATTGCACACTCATTGCACACTCATTGCACACTCATTGCACACTCATTGCACACTCATTGCACACACTCATTGCACACTCATTGCACACTCATTGCACACTCATTGCACACTCATTGCACACTCATTTCACACTCATTTCACACTCATTTCACACTCATTTCACACTCATTTCACACTCATTGCACACTCATTTCGCACTCATTTCGCACTCATTGCACACTCATTTCACACTCATTGCACACTCATTTCACACTCATTTCACACTACTTGCACACTCATTTCACTCTCATTTCACACTCATTGCACACTCATTTCACTCTCATTTCACACTCATTGCACACTCATTTCACTCTCATTTCACACTCATTTCACACTCATTTCACACTCACCTCACACGCCCTTCCAACACACCTCACCTCTGCTGCACTTCGTCTTTCTACGTTATCGAGTCACCCATCAGATCCACTCTTTTTTGTTCACTCACATGTGGTCCTTAGTCTGAGAAGTGGTCCCACGCTTTCTCTCTCTCCCTTGCCACCCTTGCAGCGACATCAGTGGCAACACCATCGAGTTGTTCGGTAGCGACAAGGCTGGATACTTGCCGCCCACCATCACAGCCTTGAGCTCGCTCTCCTTCATGTCAGTATCGCCAGCGTGCACTCCCCTGAATGGTCCTTCCCGCACGCATGCACTCGCTTTCACCTCGAGTAATCACATCCCTTGGCTGGCTCTTTGGAACTCACATGAACCAGTTGTCCTTCTTGTGGTACTGTTCTTAGCTGCAGCGCCTCTTCTCAGGTCTCCTATCATGGCTTATAGTCTCGTTAATCTTCCTGCTTCCATCTCTCTATGTGCATGTCAGTTTCCTGTTGCTACTTCTCTCGTGGCCTCTTCATGTACCATGTGCTGTGCTTCCCTTTCTTCACATGCCGCGTCATCCTGTATCGTTCACATCATGCCACATCCTTTCTTCCTGTATTCCTTTTTTCCATGCCATGCCATCCCGCCCTTCAGTGCGCTGGGCACCAGCACACTTCAGGACGTGCTTCTCTTCCCCTCCTTCACCAAGCTCAAGCACCTGTCAGTTATCCCATGCCGTGAAATACCATGCCATACCATACCATACCATACCATACCATACCGTACCGTACCGTACCATACCATACCATACCATACCATACCATACCATACCATACCATACCCTTCCCTTCCGTACCATGCCACGCCATGGTGCACTTCGTCCCCTGCACCCATCCCATGCACCCGCTGTCTACCAGCCTATGCCTGCCTCGCCACTGCAATTATGCCGTTGCTCCACGCATGCACTCCCTTGATTTCATCCCATTGCATCGCATTGCATCCCATTGCATGCCTCCCTTTCCCTGGCAGGTCACTGAGTGGCAGCGGCATCTCATCGCTGCCTGGTCAACTCACCCGACTCACTGCCCTCACTTCACTGTACGCACTCCCCCAACACCACCCACACCCCCAACACCACTCACACCCCCAACACCACACACACCTTCACGACACACACACTCCCCCAACCCTTTGCTTCTGCAAGGGTTGGTTGGATAACCCAACACCACACACACCTCAACAACTCTAGCATAGCAGCCCATTTCTAGCATTCTATTGTAGCACTTCCCTCTCGCTCCCACAGCGCCCCGCTTCCCCTCCAGCAGCAACTCTTGAGAGTCGACTCCTAGAGTCGTCCCACTCTTCGCAACATCCCTCGTGCCCCTTTTTCCGCAACACCCTCCGCGCCGCGCCCCTCTTTCCACAACCCCCCTTTCTTGCCCCTCCAGGGATGCATCTGGCATCGGCCTGACAGGCCCCTTCCCACCTGCAGTCACCTCCTTCTCTCTCCTTGTTCACCTGTGAGTGCTGCCCATTGGGGAGGAACACTGGGACGGTTGGGGTTAGGGGTAGGGGGGGAAATGGGGACGGGGAGGGGCAGGGAGAGGGAAAGGGGGGTGAGGGGAAGGGGCTGCGAGCAGAGCGGGTGGTGAGGCTGAGAAAACGTGGCAGGTCGAACGTGGGGCCGTTATTCCTTTGCCTGAGTTGTTTCCCTTCCCAGTGGACTCACCCTCTTCTCCCCTTTCTTTAGTGGTCCATGGCAGCAGCCACTTTGTGAGGTGCCTAATAATGCACGGCAGCAGGCGCCACCTTTGCTGTTGCGCCTACAGGCTGCAGGCTGTGTGTGTGTGTGTGTGTGTGTGTGTGTGTGTGTGTGTGTGTGTGTGTGTGTGTGTGTGTGTGTGTGTGTGTGTGTGTGTGTGTGGGTGCGCGCACGCCATGTGGCTGGCTGGGCTGCCTACCCGCCTGCCCGAACAGTGCATCATCCTTCCGTACCATCACTGCACTGCACTGCACTGCACTGCACTGCACTGCACTGCACTGCACTGCACTGCACTGCACTGTCACGCCATGCATGCATGATTCGCCTCTTCCTTGCATCCCTCCCTCTCACTCCTCACTCCTCACTCCTCACTCCTCACTCCTCACTCCTCACTCCTCACTCCTCACTCCTCACTCCTCACGCCCCTTTCCTCTGTGTCCTCGCTCCATTCTTTTCCTCATCCACTCTCCTCTCTCCTCTCTCCACTTTTTTTCTCCTTTCCTCCCACTTCTGTCCTCCCTACTCCGCCACTACCTTTTCTACCCGGTCTCAGCAACCTGTCCAGCAACAACCTGGAAGGCGCCATACCCGATAAGCTTGCCTCGCTGCGCTTTTTAAAGACACTGTGAGTCATGCATGCCTGGCAATACAGCATGGCGGGTACAGCACAATAGCGGACTTAGATGGAAGAGGGAATCGCTCTCCACTGTGAAACAGGTAGGGTAGCAGCAAGCTCGGTTCCTCCGACTATGATCTAGGGGATTCAGATGGAAGAGGGAGTTGTACATAAAGATGAGGATCACACTGCCAGTGCGTGGGCGTGTGTGTGTATGTGCACGCGCATGTGCGTGTGCGCGTGCGCGTGCGCGCGTGTGCGTGTGTGTGTGTGTGTGCGTGCGTGCGCGCGCGCGTGTGTGTGTGTGTGTGTGTGCCCATGGATTGGTTCTGGATATTTTCTGCTGGATTGGAGCTACTCTGATACCGATGGCTCCTTATGGACTCAATGCTTCCCCTGCGTCATTGTGATGCTTCGCGGGCTGCCTGCTGCCTGCCATTCTGCTGTTTTGGTTCTCCCGTGGACTGTGGCACATCACATCAGGAGCCTTGAGAACAACGTGCTCCAGGGCAACATTCCGGGGAAGCTGCTTGCGCTTCCCCTGCTCCAATCACTGTATGCTCGCTCGGGCTGCTGCACCTGCACCCTTTTCTTACTCGTCCGGTTTTTATCGTCCCGACATGACATGACATGACATGACATGACATGACATGGCATAACATGACATGACATGGAGCCCGCCCTTGTATTCCAGCCCTGCTGCATATCAAGTGGCACGTTTGGTTATGTCTTGGCGGTGTGCTGGTTGCTGCTGGGATGGCTGATAGGGAGTGCATGCCCCCACGTTCACATGCCCACGTGCCTGGCATGCCTCCCGTGCAGCATCATGCGCAACAATTCCCTGACTGGTGTCACCTCCCCAGGGCCCATCCCAACGCCAAGTCTCCAGATCCTGTCAGTGCTGCTCTGCCTTTACTTACACGGTCTGTGCAAGTCATTCCAGCCCCTCCTCTTCTCCGCCACCCAAAGGAAATCCCCTTTTTGGGTGCCCGTGGATTTGGCATACCGCTCCCGTCCGTCCTCCCCAATTTTCCGTCCTTTCCCCCTCCACCCCCCCTCTCTTCTCCTCGACCCTACCTCACCTTCCCCTCCCCCGCTGCCCTCTCTCCCTTTACTTCTACCGTGCACCGTGGCTGCTTTCCCCAGCGATTAGATCACGTGCCTGTGTGTGAGTGTGTGTGGTTGTGTTGTGTGTCTCACTGTGTGCTGTTGCAGTGACCTGGGCTACAACAAGCTGACCGCCATCCCTGATTCAGTTTTTGACCTCACCACCCTCCAGCACCTGTCAGTCAACCGCCCGGCGCCTGCCCGCTCGCCCCTTTTGTTCTTTCCTTTGTCAGCCCTATCTTGATCCCATTTGCGCACTTAAAGCACTCATTCACTCACCCCCAATCGCCGCCATTGTTAGGTCCTGGCCTTTCTGCTGGGTGCTTGCAATGCTTGCAACACTGGCAATGCCTGCAATGCGCGCAATGCTTGCAATGCTTGCATTGCAGTGCTTGCAACTCCATGCTGCTGACATGGCAGCGTGGGCCAACTTGCTCGCTGCAGCTACGCAGCATCTCAGTGTATGCTTCACATATCCTGCGCCACGTGGCAAGTGAAGGAATCCCTGTGCTGTCACCTGTGCTTTTGCTGCCGCCTGTGTTGCTGTCGCCTGTGCTTGTGCCGCCGCCTGTGCTGCCGTCGCCTGTGCCTGTGCTGTCGTCCGTGCGTATGCGGGTGCTCGCATATGTGTGTGTCTGCAGGTACCTGAACGGCAACCTCATATCAGGCACTATCCCAATGGACCTCTCTGCTCTCGTCACTCTCAGCACACTGTGAGCCATCCCATCCCATGCATGCTGTCCAGTCCATGTAACGCATGTAACCCACCGTCCCTTCCATACCAGCCAGCCGTGGACCATCTTAAAGTGCATGTATGCGACTTGCCTGATGGACCATCATAATTTGCCCGACCAAACCAGTGTTGTCGAGCCCTCTCCTCTTTCTGTTTATAACTTAGCAGCAGCAAGCCGTGCCTCAAGTAGTGTGTGTTTTGTGAACGCTTCTCCAAGCATTCCTTTCTTGAATAATCCCTCTGAACATCCCTCTGCTTATCCCTCTGAACAACCCTCGAAAATCCCTGTGAGCGCTGTCTCTTTCAACATGCATACATGCACCAAGGTGCCCCACCTCGATCTGCTTTTGAGTCGACTCAAAAGGTGCCCCACCACGATAACCCGTCAGGGACATTTCCCGTACCCCACAACCCTCCCCCCCCCCCTCATTTTTCTTTGCCAGCTTTTGAGTCCACTCAAAGGCAGGCCTTTCCTTGTTGCCCGCGTCTCTTCACACGTGTGTGTGCGCAGGTGGCTGAACAACAACCACCTGTCAGGGACCATCTCCCCCTTCTTCTTGACCCTTGGCAACCTTGTGACGCTGTGAGTCCATCTTTGAGGCGCCTCAAACATTGGCTGTAACGCCTGCCCATGCGGAGACGGAGACGACAGGGGTTCTGGGATGGAAGGAGACTGCGAGGGCGTTGACCATGAGGGGGGAGGGGAGGGGAAGGGGGTGATGGCAGGGGGAGGGAAGCGTAGGAAGGAGAGAGTTCAAGGATGGGGCAGAAGTGGGAGGGGCTGGACAGGAAGAGGGGGAACGGGGAGGAGGGTGAGAAGCCAGCAGGGGATGTTCTGTTCTGTTGTTGGTCCGTTGGTCGTTTTCTCTGCCGCTCTCCCATGACTGAGCTTCTTGCAAGACTGATGGGCCATGGAACGGAGTGTGACATACTCACCGCTCTATATGATGCGTGCTCCCCTCCTCTCCTCCCTTCTCTCCCTCCCTCGCTCCCCTTTTCGTCTACCTCCCTGCCTCCCTGCATGCCTGCCTCCCTGCCTCCATGCCTCCCTGCCTCCCTGCCTCTATCCATCCCTCCATGCTTCCTCCCCCCATTTTCCGCCCCCCCGCCCCCTCCCCTCTCCCCGCTCCGCTGCGTGTGCAGCAATCTGGCCCGGAATCTGCTGACGGGGGAGATCAGCGAGAACCTCTTCGAGACCCGCGGAACTGCCATCTCGCGGAGCAGGGCAGGCCATGCTGCGACTGAGGGGGATGGCCGTCCGCTGCAGCTGCAGAGCCTGTACGAGCCACACGGCTGCACCTCTCCGCAACCCAAGTCATGCCGTCGTTGGTTTGTTGTCCGTCCTTTTCGCGAGCCCTGCGTCTGCTGCTCGAGTTTGCTTCCCTGTTTGTATGTGTTAATGCTGATACCGATATCAATATCAATTGCCATTTGTCATGTGTCATTTGTCATGTGTCATTTGTCATGTGTCATTTGTCATGTGTCATTTGTCATGTGTCATTTGTCATGTGTCATTTGTCATGTGTCATTTGTTGTTGCAGGTACCTCAATGACAACTTTCTGAATGGCAGCATTCCCTCCTCAATTAACAGGCTTCGACAGCTCGATGACCTGTAGGTCGCATCACATTGGTCTGCTTTTGAGTCGACTCAACAGCGGCCTGTAAGTCACATCACATGGGCCCGTCAGTCAGTTGTCGTGGAGGGCTAGCAGCAGCATGCGTAGGAGGTCGTGCTAGCAAAGACTGACAGTAAGGAATTAGTGAGAATGTCATCGTCATTTGGTCGATATCCCCTCAAGCGGTCCTTGTATTGATGGGCAAGCAAGGCCCTCGATCTGACGCGCTTCACCAGCTCGACGACCTGTTGGCTACATGGTACGCGTGCTGCAGTTGCAGGTCACTTGTCGCATGTCAAGTCACAGGTTGTGGGTGGGTTGCACAATGAAACACCATACGTTACACTTCACCACACACTGTGTGCATTGCATCACGCATGCACAGCCACAGCGTGCAACACATGCCATGCCATGCCATGCCATGCCATGCTGGCGCAGGCCATTCCATGCGCTCCACGCCATTGGACGTGCTACACAGCACAGCTCATGAAGCAGTTTCCTGTCACATTGCCATCATCCCAGTCCTCCCTCTCCCCCCCTCTCTTCCCCTTATCCACCCACTGCTGCTGCTGCTGCTGCTGCTGCTGCTGCTGCTGCTGCTGCTGCTGCTGCTGCTGCTGCTGCTGCTGCTGCTGCTGCTGCTGCTGCTGCTGCTGCTGCTTCTCGTGCCCTCCCCTCCCCAACGTTCCTCTCCTGCCCACAACGGTCTCTGTTCCCTGCTTGTGCGGCTTGCCACGGACAGCCAGCTGCAGAACAACCGGCTAACTGGGCCCATAGACAGCGTTGCCACTCTTAACAACCTCAGAAGCCTGTAAGTCCCTCCTTTCACCTTGGTCATACCTCTCACAAGAAGCACCCTGTACAGCATGCCTCACAACGCCTCCCCTCTCTCTTCTCAGCACTACCCTCCTCGTCCATTTTTGAGGCGCCTCAAAAGGCGCCTCACCACGCCTCCCCTCTCTCTTCTCAGCACTACCCTCCTCGTCCATTTTTGAGGCGCCTCAAAAGGCGCCTCACCACGCCTCCTCTCTCTCTTCTCAGCACTACCCTCCTCGTCCATTTTTGAGGCGCCTCAAAAGGCGCCTCACCACGCCTCCCCTCTCTCTTCTCAGCACTACCCTCCTCGTCCATTTTTGAGGCGCCTCACCACGCCTCCCCTCTCTCTTCTCAGCACTACCCTCCTCGTCCATTTTTGAGGCGCCTCACCACGCCTCCCCTCTCTCTTCTCAGCACTACCCTCCTCGTCCATTTTTGAGGCGCCTCACCAAGCCTCCCCTCTCTCTTCTCAGCACTACCCTCCTCGTCCATCATCTTCTACTAAAGCACCCCGCCACCCCCCCCCCCTCTCCCACCCCACCCTCCAGGGCATCTTTTTGTAATTCAGCGTCCATTTGCCCATTTTCCATTCTTGTCCGCCCTCCTCCCCATCGTGTAGGAACTCCCTTCCCGCGTGCGTGTCTCTTCCCTGTTGCCCTCTGTCTCGCAGCCAGGTGGCCAACAACGACCTCTCGGGTACCATTCCAGCAACCATTGGAGGCATGCTGCAGCTTGAGATCCTGTAACCCTCCCCCCCTCCCTCCTCTCCCACCCTCCCTCCTCTCCCCCGCTCCCTCCTCTCCCACCCTCCCACCCCTCCCCCCCTCCCTCCTCTCCCTCCCTCCCTCCTCTCCCTCCCCCCCTCCCTCCTCTCCTCGCCTCTCTTCCCCTTCTCCTCGCCTCGTGTTTCCTTTCGTTCCCCACCCCCGCGCTACCATGACTTCTTTCTCCATTTCCACTGGCCTTTAGATCTGCATTGAGGACTCTCACACCAACTGCCAAACACCATCACTGTCACCATCACCATCACCATCACCATCACCATCACCATCGACATCGCCATCTCCATCACCACCACCATCGTCTCCAACTCTCTTCCTCCTCTCCCCTCCTCTCCTCTCCTCTCCTCACCTCGCCACCCCTCCCCTATCTCTGCCCTCCTTTCGTACTCCCTCAACTCCCTCCCATTTTCTCAGATTCCTTCTCCCGTTCCCCCAGCCCCCCCCAACCACCAACCCACCCTCTGTTTGTGTCACCTGCAACTGCTCCTGCTGCTGCTGCGGCGTGCAGGGACATGAGTGGCAACCGACTGAGTGGGGAGATTCCTGAGGACTTCACAGGCCTTATCAAGCTCACAGTCCTGTACGCCATCCCTGCCTGCCTCCTCATACTCCGTCCGTGCGCTATTCGTCTATCTTCTTCCCCCCTTTCCCCCCCTTTCCCCCCCCCTTCCCCTTTCTCCCTGTTGCTTGCTACTTGGATTTCACGCTGTTTCACCAAAACAGAAATGAATAATCAAAATACCCACGCCGCCCTCCTCCCAATCTCCCCATAGGCTGCCCTCCTCCTTGATGCGCCCTCCTCTTCAACACCCCCTCCACCCCATCATTCTTCTCATCATTCTTCTCTTATGAATCATGCCCCCTCCACTGCAACCCCCCTCTCAATTCCCCTCCCCCCTCCCCAATCCCCCTCCCTGCCCCCAGCAACCTGCGGGAAAACCAGCTCACGGGCCGGCTACCCGACCCCCCACCCAACATCCGCCAATACCAACTAGACAAGAACTACTTCACGCAGGGCCTCTCCTCCCCGCCCAACTGCTCAGCCGTCATCTCCTTCCGCGGCAACTGCCTCAGCCTCTCTGAGCCCGCGATCGCCTGCCCTGGGGACAAGCAGCAGCCACCCGAGGTCTGCTCGTCATTCTGCGGGCTCTCTGCCACGGAACCCCCGTGCAACGGCCATGGCGAGTGCCTCCTGGAGGGTCCCAGCAAGGTGCCAGTGTGCAAGTGCGACGTCGGGTTTAAAGTCGGGGAGTACAGGGGGAGCTGTGTGCCATTGGTCGGGGGGTCCACGTTGATTGCTCTGGAGCCCGTTGCAGTGCCGTCTGCGCTGACTCCGTATGGGGATGCGATCGTGGGCGCTGTGAACAAGTCATTCACTCTCACGCCCGCTGAAGCGGGCACGAGTGGCGCGGTGTTTCTCTCGGCGCGAGTGCCGCTCTTCTCCTACCAGCTCGTTGCTGACAGCTGTGGCCGCGAGCTTGCCTTCTCCTCCTCCTTCGCCTTCACTCTCGCCCGCCCCGCCTCCTCCCCCTCCGGCTCCGACGGCTTTGCCTTTGTCGTGGCCTTTGACGCCACCCCCCCGGCAGAGGCGGTGGCAGGCGGCATGGGGTATGCCGGGATGGGCGGGCGCAGCGTGGCTGTTGAGTTTGACACGTGGCAGGATGAGGGCAACAAGGACCTGGACGGCAACCATGTGGGCATCAATACCGGCGGCAATGCCATGTCGGTGGTCACGGCCGCCGCCCCCACCCCTCTCAACGACGGCACGCCAAAGTATGCCTGGATCGATTACGACCCCTCCGCTGCTGCCGCCGCTGCTGCTCCTGCGGCTGCTGCTGCCTCCCTGCGTGTCTTCCTCTCCTCCAAGCCATCCCCCCGTCCAACCAAGCCCGTCCTGTCTGCGAGGTTGTCCCTGTGCGGCATTCTGCAGCCCAGCAGTTCGGAGTACACCTTTGCCGTGGGCTTCACGGCAGCCTCAGGCACCCAGGCTCAGAGCCACGTCATCTCGTCCTGGTCCTTCGCCACTCGTGAGTGCGGCACTTGGTTTCGGTGTCCTCTCCAACCGGTGCAATGGTTACAAGTGTCTGATGTGCACGATCTCAATAGCATCTTTCGTACTCCCTTTCTTTCGTCCGATTGTGTGACCTGTGCCCTCTGCGCCCACTGCCCGCTGCACGGTTGCGTGGGTGAGTGCCCTTCCATGTTCCACAATGAGCATCGCTGAATCGAGTTGACCTGATGGTTTCGTTGCGCTGCCCTTCCGCCCCCCCCCCCGTTTCTTTCCCTGTGCCTTGCAGGTTTCCCGCAGCAACCCTCTAAACGTGGTGGTAAGTGGGGCCCTCGCCGCACGCCAGGTGCCTTGCCCATTGAAACCCCCTCTACCACTCTCTCCTTCCAACACTTAAATCGATCAACTTCACCATCCTCGTCCCTTCCCTTGGGCAAAATGCCTCCGCTCGCTTCTCACCAGAACTGCTTGCCCTCTACTCAAACCACTTCAGCGCAAGCACCCTTACTTTCAGCCACCACTGTAGCCCCATGCGCTCCCATGATCACACCCCCCATATCCCCCTCCCTGCCTGCGTGTCGCTCCATGCTCCCCTCCCCCACCCTCCCCCTGCCACCCCGGCACTGGTGTGGGTGTGTGTGTGTGGATCAGGCTTGCCTCTGGGGCTGCGTGTGAGCGAGGCGGCGATCAGTCCATCGGGCATGAACACGCTGTTCCGCTACGCCAGCGCGGGCATCTTGCCGCAGGAGGGTGGCGACGGTCGCGACCAGTACGAAGTGCACCCCACCTCCACGTGGATCCGCGACGACCTGTTCTGGCCCGTCAAGCAACAGACAGCCTGCGGTGAGCAACGCCTTGAGGCTCTGAGAGTTTTGCTTCGTTTCCTGTCTGTTTGTTTTTTTCACCAAAAGGGGGGTGTTGGGTGGGGGGGGGGGAGAGGGGACTGGTGGACCGACTCTCTGTTGGTTCTGGTAGTTCTGGCAAGGCAATTTACTGCTTTGTCGATTGTTCTTTCTTGCAGCCTCGTTCTATCTGCATGTCTCTCTCAAATGCCCTATTTCCCCTTCTCCTTCGCCTCATTCTCTCTGCATGGATCTGCTCTGCCTGCCTTTTCTCTTCCCCCGGATAAACAACCTTTTTCTCTCTCTTTTTTTTGGTTTCCCGTTTCCTCCATTTCCCTTCGGTTTCTTTTGCTATTTCTTTTTATTTTTTGTCATATTTTCTTTTTTATTTTTCTCTTTTTTCTGTCTGCATGCATCAACTACCTCTCGCCTCTTGCCTCTTCCCCCAGGTGACTGCTGGGCGTACGCGGTGGTGGGGGCCATCGAAGCCGCCTACAGCATCATGGCGAACCTGTCGGTGGCGCCGCCGCTCTCTGCGCCGCAGCTGCGCGCCTCCATGCGCGCCGACTGCCAGGGGGGGTCGCCCTCCCAAGCCTTCAGCTTCCTCCTAAACAGCAGCCGCGGGAGGAAGGGCGCGGAGAGGGGGAGCTCGCCCAAGGACGATGCGCGGCGCAACGCGCTAGCGATTGGGGTTGCTGCAAAGCAGAGGCAGGAGAGGAGCCCTCTGTGCATGGCTCCGCTGATTCCTCTCCTGAAGCTTCTCGGTATTACCTGCAACAGCAAGGGTGTCACCAAGGTATGTGTGCCCGCTGTGCTAGCCTCCTTTTTCAGTGGACTCAAAAGAAAAGAAAAGAAAAGAAAGAAAGAAAGAAAATCGGATTTCTCTCCTGAAGCTTCTCGGTATTACCTGCAACAGCAAGGGCGTCACCAAGGTGTTGTGCCTACTCTGCCAGCCTCCCTTCCACTCTCACTCTCTCCTCCCGTCTTCCCTTGTCCCCCGCCCCACGCCCTTCCCTGCATCCCCTACTCCTGCTTGTCTATGTTCCGTTGCCCTCCTTCTTGCTCCTGCTTTCTCCCCTCCTCGCCCTCTTCCTCTTCTTCCTGCTTTTTCTCTGCTGTCCGTTCCTCCGTCCTCTCTTCCGCCTGCCTTCGCTTCTCCTCGCCTGTCCTCGTGTCCCATCCCAAGAGAGCAAATGAAGGCCAGCAGCCATATTAGGGTGTTTTTGAGAATTCTCAAAATCGCCCAGCAGCCATACGAGTGTGTGTTCTTGCATCAGCTCATTCTGGTTGCTTTTGGTTGATTTCCAACGCCGCCCCTGCTGCTGCTGCTGCTGCTGCTGCTGTGATTCGTGCAGCAGGCATTGACTGGCGATCTTCACATCAGCGGCTTTGAGTCCACGGCCTTCTATGGCTGGCTTGGGCTACTGCTGGCAGTGCAGCGACAGCCAGTGGTGGTGCACATTGAGGCAACGGCTGCATCTTTCAAGGACTATGATGGGGTGAGCCAGGAATGTGATGGGGTGGGGCAAGGAATGTGATGGGATGAGGCAAGGAGTATGATGGGGTGGGTGTAATACCCTCCATTCCTGTCCCAACCATTCTCTCTTGACTTGTCAATTGCGTGTGTAATGAGTCGATTTTTGAGTCGACTCAAAAATCGACTCATTACACACGCATTCCTGTCCCAACCATTCTCTCTTGACTTGTCAATTGCGTTGGTGCCTCTGCTGATAGATACCACTCTCTGTCAAGGCGTTATTGCCCCTTGTCACGGGCGTGTGCATCTTTGTGTGAGTTACTTGACTTGACTCATTGTAACCATCCATTACTCCCCCAAGACATTCCTTGCTCTTATCGAATCCCTCCCCCTTCTCATGCTCCACTCGTCCACCCCACCAAGTAAGTACCAAGAGACCCCTCGTGCTTCATGTACAACCTGAACCACTCGGTACCATTCTCTCTCCTTCCTTAACCTCTCTGCACCCCTCCGCTTCGTATCCTCGCCTAACCCAGCTATCCAAGTACCAGGACCCCGCGTGCTTCACGTACAACCTGAACCACGTGGTGCTGCTGGTGGGGTACCGCCTGGTGGGCAAGGACACCCGCTTCCCCAACATGGCGCCGCCCTATTGGATCATCCGCAACTCATGGGGCGCGGAGTGGGGCGATGGGGGCCACATGCGCATGGACATCCAGGGGGGCGACGGGGTGTGCGGCATCAACTCCCTGCCGGGCCTCTACCCCATCGTCAGAGGTACGGCTGCTCTGCACCTGCATCTGTTGTTTAGGCGCTTCAATCGTCAGAGGTATGGCTGCTCGTTAGAGGTATGGCGCAGGTATGTATGTACTGCTGCACCTGCTTTTTCCTGTAACCAACATTGCCACTTGCAGCATTGCTGCAAATTCCTCCTTAATCCTATATCAATCCCGTGGCTCCTTTCCTGTGCGCTCTCCGCCATCCCTGCCTTCCCTTTCTCTCCACCCGTCGTCTCGTCTCTGCAGCGGCGTCGTCCCATGCAAGGACTTACTTCCTGGGCGTATTTTGAGTCGGCTCAGAGTACACCTATCGGCCTTCCCTTCTTTCCTCTCCCTGTCGTCTCCAAGCGGCCAGGAGGGACCTGTGCAATACAGCGGCTGGCAGGAACTCTCAAGATCGCTCTTCAACCCTTGCATGGAAGTAAACCTGTTTTGAGATGCCTCAAAACATGTTTTCCTTCCTTTCCTTCCCCTCCCCCCCCTCTCCAACCCCCCCCTTCCTCCCCCCTCTTGTGCAATCTCCGCAGCGACAAAGGACCCGTGCAATATTGCGGCGAGGAGGGACGCCCTGGGGTCGCTCTTCAACCCATGCGGCAAATTCACCTGTGAGGTGGACGGCGACACCAACCGGTGCCACTGCAACGACTCCAGGTTCATCGAAGCCACGAACGCCGATGGCTCCCGCACATGCGCCTACAGTACGTGTGCTATTTTTTAGTCGACGCAAAAGTCGTGTGCCTTTAGAACGGTTGCTATTTGGGTGGGAGTTGAAGAGTCATGTGCCTACGGTAGTAACGAGTCGATTTTTGAGTGGACTAAAAAATCGACTCATTACCTACGGTAGTATGTGTGTCGCTGGCGGCCACCTCCCTCCCAGGCTACATGTGCTCGTGCGTTTATTGTCTGATGCTCTTATTCTAAGGGGTGGTGTAGGTTGGTGTGCTCCGCTCGGTGGGAACCATAGGAGGTTGATGTGTGTTGTCACGGGTTTGATGTGTTTTCACAAGTCTGCATTATCTTCCTTTCATTCGTTTTCCCTGTGTTTGCGCACTCTTGTTGTAATTGATCCGTGTGAAGTGTCATACAGAAATCCCTGCTGTGTTCTCTGACAGCGGTCTCTCTTGTGTGTTCCCTTCTGCAGTTGACGCGTGCAAGGTCGCATACAGGAATCCCTGTGGACCGGGCACGTGTGTGAATGACGGGGCGGGGTCGTACTCGTGTGTGTGTCCTCCGGGCTTCAGGCAGGGCACCACTGTGGACGGCACTCTCTCCTGCGCTCCAGGTACCTTCTCCAATGCCTCATCAGTCCGTGTGTCGGTAAACACTAAGTCTGGTGAGAAACTACTGGTCTACTCTCGAGCGTATCCCTCCCTTGGCCCTGTTCCACTTCCACTGAACTCACTCTTCCCCTCCCTAACCCTCCTCAACCCCCCTCAAACCCCTCAACCCTCCTCTGCCCTGCTCCCCCCTGCTCTGGCCCCTTTTCCCCACTGCGTCTCACCCCGTTCCCCCGTGCTGTGCTCAGGTGACACGCGCAGCCGCTTCACGGTGACAGCTCCCAACATCTTCTGCTCTGACATCTACTCCCTCTACGGCCTCTCGCTTGGGCAGTTCCACTTGCAGAATGTGAGCGAGCGGCACAGGGGAGGGGGTGGTTCCCTGTTTGTCTGTATTTTTGTGTGTGTGTGTGTCTGTGTGTGTGCCTTGGGGTTTGGGGCATGCAGCATGGTGGGAGGGGCATGTGACAGACATGTGACAGGCATGTGACAGACATGTGATGTGACAGACATGCGACAGACATGTGATGTGACAGGCATGTGACAGACATGTGACAGACGTGTGACAGGCATGTGATTTTGCATGTTGTCACATCACATGCGCCTGCCGTGGGGCAAATCACCTGTCAGTTCTGGAGTCAGTTCAGCTCAGTTCGTCCGAGTTCCCCTTCCTCGCCCTGTCTCCTTGTCCCTCGTTCCTCTCCTGTTTCGCGTCGCATGCCATCACTTGTGCCATGTCCCTCCAGTGCTCCCTCCAATATCTCACCATGCCCCACCATACCGCACCCACAACGCGCCACCATGCGCCACCCCGCCCACGCCTCCACACAGCCCTCTGTGGTGGACTGCACCTCGCCTCTGCCCATCGGCACGGTGCTTGTGCTCAACCCACCGCCCTCACTCGCACCCTGCTCCGTCTTCTACACGACCACGGAGGTTCGTCCATGCTTGTGAGACATTCTTGAGAATGCTGGTGTATTTTCTGAATTCTCATCATAATGCCTTGTGATTCCCTTGTGATAGATTCTTGAGAATCTGAACCCTCACGAGTAAGTATGTCCCTGTAAAAGGTTCTCTAGAATTCTCGAAAGTAAGTCTGTGCATGCATATGTGTCTTGCCTCTCCACCATTGGGACTGGTCAGACATCTCTCTCACTGCACTCCTGCCTTGTGATTGAGGTGCCAGCAGAGACATAGGAGCTGCTGTTCTTGTTGAGCCATCCATCCATGCTCATTGCATCAAGTTACCATGTTCTACACTGAACAGCAAACCGGAAACAAGAGTACTGCTTTTGCTAGTACCCGACAGCTCTCCCCCCTCCCCCCCCCCCTCTTCACCCATTCGGCTTCTCACCCCATGTAACAGCCGCTGCAAGGCTCCGGTTATCCTCCGTGTTGCCTGAGTGGTTTAAGGGCACAGGGCATCAGCACCGGCATTAGTTCTCCCTTCGCGTTTCCACCTGCCTCCTACCAACTCCTCCCCTCCCCTTTTCTCATCACGTCTTACACCTGTTCCGCTGTCCCTCCCTCATTCCCCCACCATCCACTCCACCCAACCGATCCCATGCATGGTGCATCAGGGCGACACATGTCTGTCCGTGGCCCAGTACTTTGACCTCGCCGACCACTGCTCGTTTGACGTCCCCTGCGAGGCAGCCTTCCAGCTCCTCAACCCGGGGGTGGACTGCTCGCTAGAAGACGGCCTGCAGCCAGATCAGGCGGTGTGTGTGGAGCGCAGCGTGGAGGCAGCGGGGCTCATCCCGGTGTGCTCGCAGTACTACCTGGTGCAGAGCGGCGAGACGTGCGAGGCCATCCGCAACGTGCCCAACCCGCCTCTCTCCCCCGTTGACTTCTTCCGCCTCAACCCCGGCATCAAGTGCAACCGCCTCATTCCAGAAACCGGCCTGGACATAAGCACGGGATTTGAGGTATGTAGTGCCACTTATTATTCGCGTTGCCAGGCTTCTCGTGCGGCAGGGGCATGGTGCGTACAGCATGAGCACCGCGTGTGCAGCATGAGCAGCATGTGTGCAGCATGAGCAGCATCTGTGCAGCATTAGCACCATTTGTGCAGCATGAGCACCATCTGTGCCACATTGTGCATGCCGTGTGTACGGCTTGCTGCGAATTGCTGACCCAACCTCTCCCTCGTTTTGACTCTCATTGCCCTCCTCCAGGCATGTATACAGGCTTCCGACCGCTACACCGCCGGCACCTGTCCCAAGACCAAGGGGTACGTAGCAAGCGCCAGCGACCGCTGCAGCTTCATCCAGCTCAAGTACTTCAAGGGCATCCGAGGCTGCTACAAGCGCATCAACGGCTACGATTGCCTTGATAAGATCCCAACAGGCAGCAGAATCTGCCTGCCAGATCAAGGCAGAATTCGCCAAGGTATATGCACAGTATGATAGCTGGGTTTCATGCTTACTGTCTGTTTCCGTTCCGTAGTCTGTATATTGTAGCTCTAGCAGTGTGTTCTATGCCTGGTACATCATTTAGTGCATGCACTACATGTATAACAGCATTTATATATATAAGTGATCAACCTCTTGTAACCTTTGTGGCGAGGGCTGCACAACACTGCTGCTGATCCAGCATTTGAGAAGGTAGACAGATTCATACCAGTATGCAGGCATCACAGAATCAGTTGTTAGGAAATGCTCAGGCTCAGGCTCTACAGTGGGCCGATTGCAATCTCTCCGGGTCCTTTTCAAACAACATCCGCCTCCTGTCTGAAATATTTCCCAAGCAATACCTACCGGTATCATGCTTCACTAGCAGACTCGGCCAACAATTCCGCTCTCTACAAGCAGCGTGCCAGCAACCTTTGACCGCATGCAAACCAAGCTGCGCTCAGCCACAGCTAAACTCAACACCACTGTTCTGCCCCCGGCACTTTCCCGTGAAAAAACTCAGCGGAAAAATGAGACGGCCTACTGGGGTTCATCCAAGAGAAATGCAGAGATGCCCAGCATTGCATTGCATAGCATTGCATTGCATTGCATGCATGCATGCATGCATCCATGCATCCATGCGTGCATACAGCTTGCCCTCAGTGCACAGCAGCCAGCCCTTTCAGAGCCAGCAGAGCAGACTCGGCCAGCCCTGCCGTTGCCGAGCCTTCCTCTGAAGCAGCTCCACCAACAAACAGCACTTCTCCCGGGCCTACCACCACGGCTCGGTGCCCGAACCTGGCAGAGATTCTCTCAGCCGTGGCGGGAGGCTCGGAGAGACCGAGCGTGGTGAGGATGTTAGTGAGGAGGGAAGGGGAGGCGGGTGTGGGGATGGAGTGTGTGGGCACACATCGCACCCCCGTGGCTGCTGCTGGGGGCTCCCCAGACAGGCTTGTCAGGTCCAGGATGTGACTGTGAAGGGGATGGCAGATTTGGGAGGGAAGTGCAGGGAAGAAATGCGCCAGTGTGTTTGCAAGGGGGTAAGTATGTTATGGATGCATGAAGCGATGATGGCAAACGATGGTGACTCATAGAAGAGATAAAGTAGGGCGGGAAAGGCGTTGAGGGGAGGAGCATAGGCTGAAATGGAGAGAAACAGTAAGAGAAGTAGTAGGACGGAGTAGTAGTAGTAGTAGTAGTAGTAGTGGTGGGAGAAGCAGCGGGGCGCGTACAGATCTGAAAGAGGGGCCCCTCGAGACGAGAGCCCTCCATGCAGAACGATGCGTGAGGCCACGGCTGCTGCTGCTGCATGCGAGCGCGGAGCAGGCCAGGGGGCACCTGAAACGGTCTCTGCTGCAGCACCCAGCCCCAGCAAGGCCTGTGGTTGGCACATGAGTGTGGGTGGTGTGGGGGAGTTTGTGAGTAGGTGTGTGTTGATGTGTGTGTTAGCGTGGGTGTATTGATGTGTGTGTAAGTGTGGGTGTGGGTGCATGAGAAGGGGAGAGAGGAGGAGAGGTGAGAGAAAGGGAGGGCGGGCGGGGGGAGGGGGTTGTCAACAACAAGTCAAGAGAAAACGTTGCACAGAAGGGAGATAAGGCACAGGCAGGAGGAGAGGGAGCAGGAGTGGGAGTGGAGAGGGAGAGGGAGCGAGAAGGGGAGACGGAGCGGGAGCGGGAAGGGGAGAGGGAGCGGGAGCGGGAGCGGGGCAGGGAAGGCGACCTTGAGCTTGGAGTAGGCGGCATCAAGGTTGTCGTTGATGATGGTGTGGTTGAAGAGCGTGGCGTCCTTGCCCGCGTCCATCTCCTTGCGCGCATTGCCCAGCCGCTTCTCCACCTGCTCCTCCGTCTCCGTGCCCCTGCATGCATGCCCCCACATGCACCACAAGCACCACATGCACATGCGGAAAGCACCCATGCAGGCACTCAGGCACAGACACAGGCACACATGCACGCACACACATTCAGGCAAGCATGCACGCACATGCACGCACAGACACGCATGCACACATGGCGATCTGGGACTTTGACGAGGAGGATCGTTTGTATTTCGGACGTGCGATTGATTTCCGGTATTGTTTCGAAAGTGATCCTGCCCAACGATCTGCTACATGACTATTTCGGGGCTACTGTACCAGCATTCTACAGTGCCAAGATTGGAAATTGATCGGAGACCCGGACGCAATGTAGCGCGTCCTTACTCAGCAACAGGCAGACCTACCGAACATGCCTTCCTCTGCAGAGGCGCATTGCACTGCCATTCTGCCCCCCTTATCCCACGTTCTCCATCATTCCTCAGTCCCCTCCCCTACCCTACACTCCCCTCCCTCCCTCCCTCCCTCCCTCCCTCCCTCCCTCTCTCCCACCCACCCACCTGCCCCGGAGTCGCCTCTCCAGCTCTTCAAACGAGGGCGGTGCCACGAATATGAACACTGCATCCAGCGCCGGAGACGCCTTCACCTGCCGCGCGCCCTGCACGTCAATGTCAAGTATGCACATCTGTTGGGAAGGAGGGTGGCGAGGGAGGGAGGGAGGGAGGGAGGGAGGGATGGAGGAAAGAAGGGTGGGAGGGAGAATGAGAGAGCGAGCGAGAGAGTGAGAGTGGGAGAGAGGAGGAAGAGAGGGTTGGGGGCGTATGGTGACAAGAGGCAACAAGGCGGCATGCTCCCCCCAAACCCCCTTCCCCAACACCCCCGCACATGCACACTCCCCCAACACCCACAGAATACAAGCGCCACACACCTTGCCGGAGTCTGTGACCTTCTTCACAGCAGCCACGCTCGTCCCATACAAATTCCCATGCACGTCCGCCTTCTCAAGAAACTTCCCCTCCGCAATCTCCTTCTCCATCTCCTCCCTTGCTGTAAAATTATAATGCACGCCGTCCTCCTCGCCCGGCCGCGGCTTGCGCGTGGTATGGCTCACAGAGAACCCGCACCGCCCGGGAAACTCCTCCATAAGGCGCGTGATCAGGGTCCCCTTGCCCACCCCGGACGGGCCGCAGATCACCACGGGCATCGCAGGGGGCTGCGAGGACGCCTGGCCCCACGACACGGTGATGGCGTCAGGCTTGGAGTCGTCCACTTGAAGCAGCCAGAGGTCCGCGCACGCTTTGCAGCTGCCTGTTCCCTTGGCCGTGTCTCCTGCTTCTGGTGCAGAGAGCTTGCCTCCAAAGATGGCGATGCGCAGAGGCTCCACCAGCGCTGCTGCATGCGCGTACCGCGCGGGGGGGGGAGTGCCCCTCACCTCCGGCTTGGACCTTGGGGAATGGATAGGGGAAGGGAGGGGGGGGTGGGTAAACGGGGAATGGAAAGGGGATACGAGAGAAGGGATGAGAAGGGGAGGATGGGAGGCGGAGAGTGCATGTAAATCTGGAGATGGCTATTTGTATGGTAGTAGTGGCTATGCTGGAAATTTGTTTCTCTTACCAAGCACGAGACTTTGGGTCGTATACATAGACATCAGTGGTTGCTGAGCCCTCCCCCTTGCCTCCAATAACATACTGCATGCCCGCCAGATAGGGAAGCGATAGTGGGAGAACAACAGGTGACTTTTGAGTCAACTCGAGAGTCATCTTATACACATCGGTGGTTGCTGCGCCTTCGCCCTTGCCTCCAATAACATACAGCATGCCCGCCAGATGGGGGTGGGGATAGTGGGAGAACAAACAGGTGGAGGGAGGCAGAGAGGAGGGGACAGAGAGATAGAGAGGGTGAAGGTGGTTGGAGGAGAGAGAGTGAGGGAGAGAGGAAGGCCACAGGACAACAATGAGCAAGCATGGCCGAACAAGGGTCAGATGAAGCCCTCAGGTGGCAAGGACGAAAGCAAAGGGGGAGAGATCCCTGGCGGAGGGCAGGGCAGGGCAGGGCAGGGTTGAGGCCAAGAAGAAAGACCAGCGACTGGCTAAGGCTGATGATGACTCGGAGGGAAATAGGGAGGTAGGTAGGTTGTGAGTAGGAAGGACGCATTACAATGCGCTTGTTGACTGCCGTGGCAGAGTGGAAGGCCAAGGGGGGAGGCGCTGAGCCAGCCACCTCAAACGTCTTCCACGTGTCAGATGCTGTGTGGAACTCCAGGATGTCGTTCTGGTTGGGTGCAGTGCGGTGGAAGAGATAACGGACGGACATGACACAAGACATGGGGGGAGTCAGTCAGTCAGTCAAAGGCACGAGACGATCAGACGGACCGCAAGCCAGTGGCGGCGAAAAAATCTGGGCTGAAGACGAGATGTTGATGGTGATGTGTGTGAATCGTGGTGACGACGGGCATGGCATCTTCGTCGTCGTCGTATGGCTCGCACGCACGCACGCACCTGAGGGACCCCGTCCTTCTCGCCTCCCACAAGGAAGATTGTTTCGTCGATCACTGCAAAAGAGCAGGGCAGGATAGAGTGGCATTGTGGCAGTTATGGGGGATGACCAGGGCAGGCCGCATGGCAGGCAGAGAGGGCACCCTCGATAGAAAGACCTCGTAAAAGGTAGAGCGGCAAGAATCTCACGGAATCTCATGTGCCAACTAGCTACTGGACAGAAGCCTACTTCTTGGAACAGTGCCCATCGGAAAAACCCTGAACCTCGCAGAATTGATTCTTGGTGTAGCTTATCAGCACTCGTCTTCTCCCCTTGTAACGAGGTGCTTACTATCATCTCCACTGCTCTAACCCTCTGCTCTCCTCCTCTCCCTCCCTTCCGCCCTGCGATCCGCCCACCTGCCATGGCGTGTCCGACGCGCGTCTTGCCCGCCGTGGCGATAGGCGGCGACGATCCGACAGTCCATCCGTCGCCCTGGCGAAGAAAGATCTCCACGAAGGCGTCCGGCGGCAGCGCCGACTTGCTCTGCCCGCCCACCGCGTACACCTGACCATGCGACGCCCGGTGATAGATATGACACGACACCACGCCACACCACACCACACCACACCACGCCACGCCACGCCACAAGATGCCACACGACCCGCCATGGTAAGACATACTCATGGCGCGGAGAAATGACCGGGATGTATTAAAGGCGAGGCGATCACGGAGCAACGGATCGAAGAGCACGCAATGCCAAGGGCAGACGATCGGGGATAAGACGAAATGAACATCTCAGCACCGTGGGGAGCCCGTATGATCCATGTACCGGATAATGATGGGGAGTAGAGAGAGAGAAAGAGGAGAGGGCCGTTACCTTGGGGTCCCCTTGGTCTTGCTCCACAACAGCGAGAGCGTGATTGTAGCGAGCGGCCACAGGTGCGTCTCTGGCCAAGTAGCGCCATTCAATCTCGATACTAGACATGGCGGCGGCTGTATTGAGGCACGGCTCAAAGCACGGCTCGTCGAGCAATTGCCTTTCGAGACGACTCAAACAACGGCTGATGCTCGGCGAGCGAAATTACGGAGGGAGATCTGACACGAGCATAACGCGGAACGAAGGAAAACTAAAAACGAGACGTTAGCCGGAGGGAGGGAGACGCGGAGTTTCGTTTGCGCCGGGAAAATGGCACGGAATGCCGAGATCAAGGATAAATGACAACAATGTCGAGACATTTCGTGAATGAGCGGACTACAAAAAGGCGACAAAACGTTGAAAATTGGCCAGCTCTAAGAGAATCGTATAACGAGGACGTGGGCGGAGAGAGACCTCACCGCGAACAACTGGCAGAGTTCAGCTGCTTCAGTCAAAGTTGATTCAACCAGAAACAATGCGTCCAATTATGCAGTGCGACGGAATCTACACGGAGTGCTGGTACGACCGAGTAAGCCTTCAGGCAAGATCGCGATGGTTGCGACTGGTAGCCGGGGAGATTTGACGATGACTTGATAGGAATGTCGTCGCGTCGGTCTAGCTCCAAGCAAACTGTGGGATAAGAGGAGGAGCATGACGAAATCGAGGAATTTGGTGAGTAGAGCGGACGCGAGTGGGTGGGTTGGTGTGGTGGTTTGGTTTGGGCAGGTGGAGGTTCGCTCACTGGAGCAGGGCCTATTTTTTACGGGTAATTATTCGGTTCTTGATACTTTAACGGGTTTGTTTCGATCGGAACTCACTTTTTGACGGATTCCGTGATCTCTGAACCTGGGGGCTAACGGGTCGATTCTGGCTCGAAAACGGGCTGTAAGCGTAGATTTCTAGAGATTTTGGCCGAAACGGACTTTGACGAGTACGACTGGGGCCGAAAACGGACTTGGCTTTGGTAGGGAACCCGGATCTGACGAGTGGCTAAAAAATAAATCTGAAGCCCTGTGCTGGAGACAACTCCAAAGAAAAGATCCCGAGGGGGAGCGGACAATTTATTCGGTGGGTATTACTGCCTTTCGTATTTTATTTCCAGGTGCTGTTTACGACCTATAAACACTCTAGACTAGACCAATACTCATTTGACGTAAAGCCGACTCAAATACGGAGAGGCATCCTCCGTCGCATGATCTGTTCCGACCTGCGTTGCTTTCGGTGTGAGAGGCGCATCATCTAGGGATCCGTGAAGACTTCTTCGAGGGTAGGAATGTATGTTCCTTACTTTCGGGATCACTGGCAGATACCATAGATGCTCCGTCAAAGCATCACCCGAGAGACTGCATGGTAGTATATCATGCTACATTGCTGAATGATTTCCCGTTATAATCTCTTATTGCATGTTGGTATGGTACCTCTCTAAAATTTATCAAAACAAAATTGGCACATCTTTCATGTACATGTGCACCTAGCCCCACATGCATAGTTTGGCATGGGGCGCTTGAGTGCGAATTGACATAAGAAACATAATTCTTCATTCCCAACAACGGCCTGCAACTAGTAACGTAACGACACACTGCAGCCTCACTTTTTTCTCGACCCTGCTGCTGCCATGGCAGCATCAACTTGCCGGTGCAGCGACACGGCCACACGGTGTGACATGTCTAGCATCTCAGAGAGAACCGAGGGGTGCACCCCAGCATTGCCCCCCTTGGTGGCACTCACAACCCGCCCATCCGGCCTCACTGCCACACAGAGAGACGACTCTGCCACTGCTTCCTCCTCTGGTGTGGCATCCACTATCACATGCTTCCCTAGCTGCACCGCACCGCACAGCACGGCACAGCACAGCACAGCACAGCACAGCACAGCACAACGGAGCACAGGACAGCACAGCACAGCATAAATAAGAATGAAGGAAATCACCCATGGTGAAAACAGGGCTAGGAGGGGTCGGAGGGGCCGGGAGGGTAGGGAAATGGGGAGTCTGGAGGCAGGTGAGGGAGGGGGGAGGGGGGTCGTCCCAAAAGACAAGACATCAACCAGGCATACAAGTCGAGACGAGAGAGTGGAAAAAAGTCCAGAAAATGCTCGCGTCAAGGAAAGGAACAGGGAAGGCCTGTGCAGTGTGTGCCCCGCCGCGTGCGCGTGCGTACTCTATTGAGCGTGACGATGATGGGCGTGGCGGAGGTGTCGAGGGGCACGCCCTCGTCCGGGTCATCCACCACCTCCAGCTCCGGCTCACCGTCCTCGCCCTCGCCCATCACCACCTCCACCTTGGGCAGCACGCTGTTGCCCAGCGCTGCCTGAAAGGGGGAGGTGACGGGGGGGGGGTGGTGGTTAGGGGGTGGGGGTAAGGGGGGGAGGCGCCTCAAAATCGCCTCAAATTGTTTAGGCACCTCAGAAGTCGCTGTCCTCGCCCATCACCGCCTCCATCCCGGGCAGCACACTGTTGCCCAACGCCACCTGCAGAGGGGGAGGAAGGGGGGGGCAGGGGTGGGGGGGGAGGAGGGGGAGAGAGGTGGGGGGACGTGGCAGGGAAGGAGGGGTCTGCGTTTGAGTGGACCCAAAGGCAGACCTCCAGCTCTGGCTCGCTGTTCTCGCCCTCGCCCATCGCCACCTCCACCCCGGGCAGCACGCTGTTGCCCAACGCCGCCTCGTCACAGCGGTAACAGGGGGAGAGATGGGTGGGTGGGGCAGGGCAGGCAGGGTTGCGGAGAGAGGAGATAGATCGGGAGGGGGAAAACGAGGGGGGAAGGGGGCGAGGGGGGGGGGGTTAGGATATGTGAGCCGTGACAGCTATGGAGAGAGGCATCTGCTTCGCGGCAAGTGTGCCTCTTGACACGAATCAATCAAGTGAGAGCTGGAGGAGGAAGGGAGGGAGGATGCGGGAGAGAAAGAGAGAGACAGAGGGTGTGCATGCGTGTGTGAGGGGACGCGGCGGCATGGCGGCACGGCGGCACCTTGAAGGCGATGGAGAGGGCGTCGACGAGGTTGCCGTCCATGTTGAGCACGAGGGCGTCCAAGTACAGCACCCAGCAGCTCTTGCGCTCCACCAGCACCAGCTGCCCCAGCTCCACCGCCGCTCCTGGTGGGGGCGGAGAGGAGATGAGGTAAAAGGGGGTGGAGTGTAGCAGGATGGAGGAAGGGAAGGGAAGGGTTAGGAGGAGAGTGGGAAAGGTGAGGGCGGATGTATCGCGTGAGGAGTCTATTTTTGAGGAGCCTCAAAGAAGGGAAGGGTTGTATTTTGAGTCGACTCAAAATACAACTGGTTAGGAGGAGAGTGAGAAAGGTGAGGGCCGGAACGGATGTATCGCGCTCCAAAAGCATATGGTTAAGTGAAGGAGAACGAGGCGAAAGAAAGGGATCGTGACAGTGCGATGTACGTTGTATATCATCTCATCCCTCCCCCTACCCCCATGGCACCTGAGCCGTCTGCGCCTCCTAGGAACGATCTCTCGAGCACACGTGTGAGCTCCTGAGACAACTCCTCTCCTCCTCTGCCCTGCGAGTTGGGGGTGGATGGGTGGGTCACCATGAGTTCACAGGCGTAAAGGGAGCACAACGAATACCAGCAACCACATCATTATAGAAACAAGCACCAGCGCCAGCAGCAGCAGCACCAGCACCACCACCGCCACACCATCACCACCACCACCGCCACCACCGCCACCACCGCCAGCATCACGAGCAGCATGAGTACCCTGAAAGCAGGCGTGGCTGTGGGAGAGCAGTCCACCGACACCTCTATCCGCCCGCCCCACGGCCTCCCTGGTGGTGGCGACCCTATCTCCGCCTGCACACACAGTAGCGCGTTGGGGCGTTGGGGCGTTGGGGCGTTGGGGCGTTGGTTCACAAGGACCAAGGCAAGGGTTCTGAGGGCAGTTTCACGGGGAAGAGGAGGAGGAGGAGGAGGAGGTGGGTATGAGGCACGTTGACTCAACGCTTGACGCCAAACGGAGAAGCAGGAGGAGGAGCAGATGTGCCTGCCACCAACCAAGTTACTAAGGCAGCAGTCAACATGGCACTCCAATGCAACCAAACCACTGCCTTGTTGCTCTAAACTGGCGCTGATGTGGTTGATTTTGCAGGGTGTTTTTGAGAATTCTCAAAAACACCCTGCAAAATCAGATGGATATCAAACTGCAAGTAAACTGCCCTTACCATGGACTCAACTGGACCCGCACATGCCCTCAACCAACCCCTCACCCGGTGCCTCGGCCCCTCCCCCCGTCGTCCCTTCACAGCACGCACCTTGACAGTATATGTGTGGCGCCTAATCGCAGTCGACTTTTGAGTCGTCTCAAAAACGCACCTTGACACACGCCAGTATATGTGTGGCGCCTAATCGCAGTCTGGCCGAGCCAGTTGCCTGCACGAGAGGGTGACAGCAGAGTCGAGTGGTAGGGGGAGGAGTAGGAGAGCCGTTGATCCAACGCAAAGAAAAATGGAGAGAGTGAGAGGGTGAGAGAGTGAGGGTCCCAAGATACACAAACGCGTGGGAGATTCTGCCACAAGCGCATACGAGGCGGCAGGTGGGAGGTCCGCTTCCACCAAGCAGTGGCTCCAGGGCCACCTCTGCCACTATCCGTGGAGGTTGCCATCCACGCCATCGCACGCCATCACACGCCCATTCCACGGTTTCCTTCGACTAAAAGACGCCCAAAAACCAGCGACCCCTCAACCCTATGCCCGCAGCCCTCAACCCCGAGCCTTCAGCCCTGAGCCGTGCGTCCTAAACCCGCATTTCTCAGCCTTTTGCGCAAAGCGCACAGCGCAGCGCGCATCACGCAGGCTCCCACCTGCGGAATGACTCCAGTGTCCAGGCTGAAGGGGCGGAAGGCCTCCCGCGCGCGCCCATCGGCGCGCATATTCTGCGCCACTCCATCCGCCACGAAGCGGCCTTCCGCCGACGATACCAGATCCATCTATCGCTATCTAAATGCTTCGGTAAGGTCTCTCGGATGGCGCGCGCCCAGGGTTCTGGTGGGAAAATGCCTCGCAGAGTCTACACTACTGGATTCGTCGTCCCTCGGGTTGTTTGCTAGTGTAAGGAATTACGATTCCTTACTGGGGCTCGCCACAGCGAGTACACGCGAACCTCTCGGTTCCGCGGGCTCGGTCCTTGGTTATCGCGCCAAACCAGCCCCCGTCGACCTTTTCGGCCCAACCTGATCCCGAGTCGCCTTGAACCCATTTTGACCAGGGCTCTCGGTTCAAGGGTAAACATCCGGAATGTCAGGTACATTCCGGGTCTTTCCCGCTGAAATCCTGATTTTGAGGGTTTCAGACTCACAAACCTCCTGAATGATTCCGAGCGTTTCCAAGGAACTCCCTGAGCAATCCGGATTGCACGAAAATTTATCCTGGCCATCCGACTGGCATGGAAACTCACTCGTGCTGGAATTGCAACCCTACCCTCCCACCCCCCCCCCCCTCCTCATTTCTTCGCAACCCTGACCAATTTTCCACGCAATCTGAAGGCACGACCCGTGGAACTTTCACAACTACAGAAGTGCAGTGCATGGTTGTCACTCTTATCACCTTAGCAAGGTTGCGCACTGTCCCTCTAAGTTGTACGCATTTCTGTCGCGTTTGACAGAGAAAATATCGAACTTGGTGTGGTGGTGAGGGACAGCAGCAGCAGCAAGTGCGTGTTCTGTATTCTTCTCCATCGTTACTTCCATCGATGTCCTTCCTGCTTGTACTCGAAGTGCCCACAGGTTCCGCTGATGGGTAGGGAGTCCCAAAAAACACTCTGAATTTCAGATTGAAATGTCAAATTAATCATGAAATAAAGAGAGATTTTCCAGGGAATGCTGAATTTTCAGGGTCTTTAGTGACGCGAATCCTGAGACCGCTGGGTCTTGAAAAACGGAAAATTAGCCCTGATTTTGACCCCGTCACCCTCGGACTCTTGAGCCCTTGACTGGTCCAACCCTCGACATTCAACATGGTCAACTCGCACTGTATAAGCCCTAGGCCTAATTATTCTGGATCATTCTGTAATCACGTTCCCTTATAGTATTGAGCACTATGCTCTGGGTTATAATTCATAACCGCTGGTATCAGAGCTTAACTCCTGCCCATTAGGCTTCTGGTAGGGGAGCAGACCCTATCGGGGAAGGGGGAGGAAGGATGCTGATGGCGAGCGGACGTCGCGGAAATCAATTGCGCGGGCGTTGCCGATGCCGTCAGATCCTGTCCGATGGACGGCTGGGATTGACCGGTCCTCCCCTTCCCTGGTCGTAGACGGAATTATTTCCCGTCGAAGAGTGGACAACGCTTTTGCCGTGTTTTTCGGGTGTGTTCGTTAGAGCTTTCGTAATTTTCGGGTGTTCGGACAGATTCTTCGGATTGGCTTCCGAAAAAAGCGAAGGCTTCGTCATGAGTACAAGACAAGTGTACAGGAGTCCTCAGGTGGTTGGGAGTTGGTCCTCAGGAGCGCGCGGGGTGGCGAAAATGGCGGGATGCACGGCGATGTACGTCTGGCATGCCATGCAGCGGCAGGGTAAACTGTAGCTGTGTCGCAGGTCCCGGCGTTTCCGGCAAGCTAGTTGTAGGCGAGGGACGGGACTTCAACACAATTTCGGCAGTGGGCGGATCCGACAATTTCGGAATGACACGATCGCACAAAGACGTATGGGTGTGCAGTTGTGTGGGAGCAGCTGGGATTAACGACATCGGCGCTATACACCACGACGGCCATCTGGAGGTGATGACGCTGTGCTGGAGTGAGTGTACTCAGCGAGAGCGACTTCCTGCGTGGGGAGGCGTTTTTCGTGGACCAGCGATTCATACCCCCACGATCAACGGAAACGGAGGCCACAACCACTGGGTGTGTATTAAGTGTTTTCCACTGGTCGCCGAATGCGTTAACTGTCAGGAGTTGAAGCAGTGGGAGAAGAACGACGGGAGTACTAGAATAGATGGGTTAGCGGCGTTCGGGCTGCTACTCGCTCAGCTACGTTACTCGAAAATCACCATTCCCACCAGGTGGTAGTGTCGACTTATTAATCGATGGCTTCTGGGTAAATAAGGGGGGTGAACCTGCAAACTACACTGTGCTGATGGAGTGTCCCCGAAATTTTAGGGGTTACTGTTGCAGTGGAGCTAAGGGTTTTTTACCTGGTGCAGCAGAAGGAGTTTCCGACTCTTGCGGGTGTAGTTGGACGAGTTTCCGACGGAGAAGGGAGCTGTACAGCGGTTAGTAGGCAAGCTCGTTAAAGCTCCTCTGACTAGAGCGTGCGCACTCCTATCTCTACGGATTCACCTAGTTACTTAAGCAGCAACGAAGCAGTTTTGGGTAACCTGCAGCAGCCGCGAGATGCGTGAACGTCTGTATGGCCAGCTAGACAAGGGTACCGGAGAATTTTAGAATTGGGTAACAGCTGAGTGGAGATCGACGGTGTATGATGCGCATTGACCCTGATCGACGGCCAAAACATCATGCCGAGGCGGTGGACTCCGGTAAACCCTAAGATAAAGGGTTCAGTTCATGTGTAGAGCTGGTGGAGAAACCGTGGGGGCGCTGCTAAAGGACGCCGTGACGCCTGGGCATTTTTACGGGTAGCTGTGCAGCAGTGTTGCAGTTTTGGTTCAGTATCGATAGAGTTCCGACATTTTCGGTGGGTTTGAGGAGCAGTTCAAGCATTTCCAGCTGGATTTGTGCCCGCTATCTTCAGGGGTACGAGTGACATCGACCGACATTTGTGGAGTGTTTTGGTTATATGGAGCAGAAGGAGAGTTGTAGCAGTTTCGAATTTTCCCGAAATTTTCTGCGTGTACGGACAAAGAAGCTGATGTAGCTGGCGTCCTTTGAAATAGGGTTCTATTCGAGGATATTCACGGGAGTGGTTCGATACAGGTTACAGGTCATCGCCATCGTCGTCAGCCTCTCGCCACCATCCGCTACCACCTAAATTCTCAATTCGCAAGACAATGTGAGTACGGCCCCTTCGCATCATCGCCACCCATCCGGAACAGTATCGGATTTACAGAAACTTTGGCAGTAGTACTGTTGGAGCTGTGGTGGGACCAGCTCGCACGCAGTGTTTTGACCTTCGAAGATTTTTTGGAGTTCGTGTAAGAGTCTTCTGGAGCAGTCGTTGCGGAATTTCACGGCCATTAGAGCGGTTTAACCTGCGGAGGCATTTCAAGTTTGCAGCATGTATGGGAACTATAGCGGTTGGAGTTTTGCAGCGGCATCTTGGTAGCTGCGTTATGGGATTTTCAGCGGCAGTGTGGGATTATTTCGACGTCCTTGGAGCATTGGGTTTTCTGGAGTTTTACCTGGGAAATTGGATGTTGTTTCCTTTTAGAATGTGGGAGAGTGTAAGGAATTACGATTCCTTATTGGGGCTCGCCACAGTGAGTACACGTGAACCTCTCGGTTCCGCAGGCTCAGTCCTTGGTTATCGCGCCAAACCAGCCCCCGTCGACCTTTTCGGCCCCAACCTGATCCCGAGTCGCCCCGAACGCATTTTGACCCCGTCACCCTCGGACTGTCGAGCCCTTGACTGGTCCAACCCTCGACATTCAACATGGTCAACTCGCACTACATAATCCCTAGGCCTCGTTATTCTGGATCATTCTGTAATCACGTTCCCTTATAATTCATAACAGCCAGTCTAATAGAGTCGAAAGTCTCAAGGCCATCAAATTCAAGGTTCTGGGGGAATCATATGTATAACCAGATGGCGGATCTGTCTACAAAGAAACAACACCTACGGAGTTATTTTGTGTACAGTTTGGCTGATCTTAAAAGCTTTGGCAGTTACTGTCAAAAGACTAGCTTAGCTAGGAAGCCATAGAATGGCACAAGGTTTAGCTAGGAGCTAGGAGGAGCCATGAGAATGGCGAGAGGTCTTAGGTGCTAGGAAAGTTGAGAGAAAAAGAGGTTGGGAATAGAAGAGAGAGGGATACAAGGAGGGGTGTTGTACACTCTACAGTAAAGTTTAGTAACCTACCAAGCCTAACAATTATATAATACAATATATAATTTTAACACACCCCCTAGGCTTGGTAGTCACATGCCCACACACACCCACACCCCCTAACCTAGCACCCCCATTCCAGCCACAGTGACAGCGACTCTAGGTCGGTCGACCCCACGGCGCGTGAGGCGGCGACGTCGACCGCAGGGGCTGCGGCGGCGACGGCGGCAGCGGCGGCAGTGTCGACAGCGGCGGCGGCGGCGGCGTGCGGCTGCGTGGCCCCGACGCAAGCGGCGACAGCGGCGGCGGCGGCGGCTTCGACAACAGCGGCAGCGGCGGCGGCACCCGCACCTCTCGGTGACGTGGCCAGGCCCCGCGACGGTGGGACGGCCGGCGGGAGTCAGCCGTCGTCTGCGGAATGGAAGAGGGCACAGGGGAAGGAGGGGGGTGGGGGGGGGGGGCGCCACAGGCTCACATGCGGGGCGGCCGGTCTAGCGGCGCCACAAGCGTCACGCGGCCGGTTGCAGCCCGACGACGCCGTCATGGAGCGGCGTCGATGCCGCAGCGGGGCGTCGACGCTGCGACGGCAGCACGACGTCGCCGTTACGCCGACTGCGCGCTGTCGCGTAGACGCAGGGGCAGCGTGACGGCGCCGTCACGTCGCGACAGCATCTTGACGCGACGGCGGAGCTGCGGCACGACGGCGCGGCTACAGCAGCTGGACGCGGGCGCCATGGACGTCGACGGCGGCGCCGCGGCACGACGACGCGGCCACAGCAGCTTGACGCGGCCGCCATGGCAGCGCGAGATAGAGAGAGAAACGAGCACGCAGCGGAAACGCGAGGAGCAGGCCCACACGGAACGAACTGCTCTAATACCATCTCAAAAGACACGCTTAGCTAGGAAGCCATAGAATGGCACAAGGTTTAGCTAGGAGCTAGGAGGAGCCATGAGAATGGCGAGAGGTTTTAGGTGCTAGGAAAGTTGAGAGAAAAAGAGGTTGGGAATAGAAGAGAGAGGGATACAAGGAGGGGTGTTGTACACTCTACAGTAAAGTTCAGTAACCTACCAAGCCTAACAATTATATAATACAATATATAATTTTAACAGTTACATTAAGAACTTCAACATGCCTTGCATGTTGATGCATATATTTTTAGATATTGTTTTGATTATATGTGTTTAGAAATTTATAGAATAATTATTAATTACAAAACACTGTTCACCACGGCACATGTAGAAAAGAAGTCATCAGTTAAAGCCGTGGTACACATTCTCTGAAATGTGTTTCAAATTATAAACATTGGGAATCAGATTACAGCGTAATTTCGCTGTGTGAAACGAACGCCTCGCCACTCGTGGAAACAATTCAAAAACAAAATGTGGGGTTTGTGTACTACAAACCCCATTCTCATTGCGGAACAGTGCACCCCCGCCCTGCAAATCTGTTTCCCCCCCTGTAGCGCTTTGCCCCAGTTTCCGAATGTTTTTATTGGGGTCTCCCCCGAATTCGTCCCCATTCCGCCCCTTGTAGCGCCCCCGCGGTTCCCCCCCTGCATTTTTGACCCTGTGTTTCGATTTTGTCCCCCCACCCCTCAAAGTTGAATGTTTTCAGCAGCCCACCCCCCGATTTCGTCCCCGCTTGCACCCGCCGATTTCGTCCCCTCTTGCACCCGCCGATATCCCCCATCGCTCAGCAGTTTCCTATCGCCCCCCCACCCCCTGAATTCGCCCCCCCCCCCCCCCCCCCCCCTCCCTCTCGCCTCTCACCCCCCCGATTTCGTCCCCTATTGCATCCGCCCCTTCGATTTCCCGCATCTGCTGTTACAATTTGACTTCCCTGATTTTGACGAAATGACGGTCGTCGTCACTCTTGCCGTCCAATCAGCATATTTCCAACCGAACTCACATTGTAGCAGTCAACATATTTCAGGGAATGTGTACAGCTCCTTTAAAGCCCGACCAACAGGTTGCAACTCTCTTTTTCTCAAGATGCTGCATCTTGAGAACTGTAACCGAACCCAACCGCAGCAGTGGTTGACGAGACTCAAAAACCTCAACTCTGTGCCTCGACAAACTTGGCAAGTTTGCGTCCCTGCCAAGTATCGAGGTGAACAAGCACGAAGTGTGCTCAAATAGTAATTACTCGTTAAAAATTTGACTTTCAGGCGGTTTAGCGCAAGTGTACCAATGTGTGTTTGATAGCACAAGGGCGAACCGAAGCCCAATAATTGAGTCTCGTTTCCTTTCAACTTGCCCTAACAAATAAAATGGTGTGGGCTGTTTGCGCAAAAAACGCAGGCATGAAAACCCCCCTTGCAACATGACAAAGAGGCAGGTGCGAGTCCCCTGCCAAATGACGGGGCTCAAACCTGACACCTCTGCCAGGTTGCGTAGCCCTTGGGAACTCCCGCGCAAGCACGAGGTGGACGAAAAAGAAGTTTCGCAAAAATATTTCGCTTATATTTTTCCTCGTCAACCAATCGTAACCTGCCGCCCCACCCACTTCAATAGTACCAATATGCAACCTGCCGGTCGGGCTTTAAGACCCGTGGCCCAAATTGTTCAAACGCACTGCGTATGAAGTTTGACCCTCAGGCTGTACGAAATACGCTGGAAAATCGCGAGGGCGTATACTCTCGCAAATTCAACGCTTGTTATGAACCGTCAGATTTACAAACACACAGTTTGACAGATGAGATTGCCTTTCGACTGACTAGGGGAAGTGCTTGGCTTACGCGCCGTCAGATGAAAATCTAGAAAAACTGGACGGTTGAGAAACGCTCGGCACCTGGTGTTCCAAATTACCCTCCACACTGAACTTGAAAGGCACCCCTGAGTGACGAGAGTCTCGTTACCCCCCAATACACCCACGAAAACGCAACTTTCAAACGCACTGCGTTTGAAGGTCGCGCCTCGCAATTTTGGCTGCGGGCTTTAAGTTTTTAGACACACCTTTCAGTGAGGATAAAGATTTCACCTGTCAGCGAGGGCCGGCACTTTGTACCTAGGGTCGTATTCAAGGTATCCGAAGTACCAACAAATTTGAGGAGTGACGAAACCACAACGATGCACGTTCACCGTCAATCCCTCCCTCAATTCCATTTCGCTGCCGTTTGGTGTTATCCGTCTGACGGCGAGGCCTGACGTCAAGTTTCCGTTGCCGTTCACACCCTCTTCCGCTCACATCACCCAGCTGAGGACCATCACGAGGACACAAATTTCTCACGACGCAGACCGGACCGCGCTCGCCATCCACGTGAAACGGGCATCGTTCCTTTCACTGCAGGCGGGACCAGGTCCAGGCCCTGGCGCGAAGGCTCCATGCAAAATGGCGCTTGGTCCACGCAGGTCAGATCGCGGCACGAACACACGGCCGTGAGAACGTGATTGCCGTGCCACGTCTGCTGGGCATCTCCAGTACACTTGTCTGATGCGGCTCGTCGACGAGTCGCTCTCTCATCCAATTTCCCAGGGCTTGGTCTGGAAATATGCTGCACTGGGAAGACATCGCGGCGCGCGCGTGAGATGGTGAAATTCGCAAGCCTCCTTCCCAAACCTGTTCGTCTGGATATTTTGCGATAGCCTCGCAGTGCAGAGCAGACCATCAACCCAACCAAGCCACCCCTTTCTCCCAACAGAACAAATCGGGCTCGTGGGCCAAACCTAGTCCGACCTTCAGCACACCCTTAGGATGCTGTAGCCTCGGGCAAAGGATACCGCCGCTTTTTACTCCGCCGCCAACGGCTTTGTTCGAACAAGGCGGGCCGATTTCAACGGGCGTCCAGGACTAGCAGCCCCCGTCAAGATCCCGGCTTTCCCAAATTGTCCATCGCTCCTGCTATCATCAACTTTCGCCGTGCTGTCTTCTTGTTGATCATTTGTCACAGGGCAAAGGTTTGCGTGCTATGGGACTAGTAGACACGCGAACAAGCAACAACGGCCTATTCCCAGTCCACAAGGATAACTCGTAGCGCTTCATTACTAGGCTGTAGACGCAGGCAAGCCAGCTCGCTCCTTCTCCTGCAAAATAAATCAAAACCTAGACACTAGGTCTTCCCGGTGTTTCGGTTTTTTTACCTTCGTCGGTGCTTCACCTGTAGCCGTTTCATTTGCTTCTAAAGCCTTGGCAGCCATATTTTCTCGCCAATGGCGGGCGTCTTGCCAGCGGCGCGGCCTGCAGCTGGATGGCACGACGAGCGCAAGTAAGTAACCTTCGAAGGAGCAGAACGAGTTACGGTTACCAACTTTTCGCTGACGTTTCGGAGCCGCACGCCAACCAAGCTCCAGTCTCCGATGCATGCTGCTCAACTCCACGGTTCCCCGCGTCACCATTCCGTCTTCGTATTCCCTCCCAAGAGCAATCGTACGCTGCTTAACAGAAAGCATTCTTTTTTTCGTCCCGCGTGCCGTTTCTCGCCTTCCCTTTCCGTGCACCCGCCAGTGAATCCGTGGAGTCCGACTCGTCGGCGGGAGCCATAGTCGGCGGCTGGGGCGCCAAGTGGGCCAGCATGGGGCAAGACAACGAGAGCCCAACGGACGCGCCGGAGGGTCTGCTGCAACTGGCTCGACAGATCCAGGAACGGCACGAGGAGGACGAGGTGGAGGAGGAGGTGTGGGACGAGGAGGAACACGTGGAGGAGGAGGAGATCTACCCTGTGGAGCGGTCGTCAAGCGGCCGCAGGAGAGGGATGGTCGGCGTCGTGACTGGCTGCGGCGTGCCCATCGACTCCTCGCCTGGAAGCGGGAAGAAGAAGAAGAAGTCGTTTTTCGGGCTCTCGTCCATCGTGCGCTCGCTATCGGGTCGGTCGAGGAGGAGCCCTGGCGGGAAGGAGCCGTTGCCTGCTCCTGCAGCGCGCCGAGGCCAGATCGCGCCCGAGCCGCTGAACTACGCGAGCCCCAATGACGCGAGCAACAACGCCCACGCACGGGAGGTGCCACAGCCGCAGAAGCTGCAGTTCTCCCAACAGCAGCAGCAGCAGCAGCAGCAGGAAACCTTTACGCTCGCCACGCCAAGCGTGCATCCGCTGCCGTACCAGCAGCAGCAGAACCAGCAGCTGGAGGAGCAGCAGCAGCCCGCACGAAGCGGTCTGCAGCAGCTGCAGCAGCAGCTGGCAAGTCAAGAGCAGGCGGCGGAGGCCACGTGGAGCAGCGTGCCCATGAATCTCGAGGGGCTCCGCGACGTGCTGGACAAGCGCATGGCGGAGGACCACGACGGCGCGAGCGGAAGGATGGCGGAAGGCGGTCAGCCCGCGCGCAGGTCGGGGAATCTGCGGTCGGCGGACAAGTGGCTGCGGCAGATCGCGGCGGCGGAAGAAGAGGGCCGCCTGGACATCGCGTCCCGCCTATTCGAGCTCGCTCAAGAGTGCGGCTCGCAGGTACGGCTTGCTGATCCCCGTGATCCTCTCACCATCGTCATCCTCGCCCTTTCCGATCCGCGACCTAACGGTTTTTTTCTTTCTTTTTTTTCTAACCATAGGCTTTACTAATCAACGGCTTTGAATGTCGTATTTAACTACGGCTTTGTTTCGGTCTCCGTGTGAGCAGCCCTTGGAGGTCATTCTCGAGGCCAAAGAGGCGTTCAACAAGCGCCACGGCCTCGCTCCGCCGCCGTCCGCCAAGACCCCCCCGCGCTCCCCGTTGCGCTCACCGTTCCGCTCGCCCGCGCTATCTTCGACCGCCACCCGGTCCCCGCTCCGCTCGCCCATCTCGTCCCCGCTGCGCTGCCTCGCGCCCAAGGCGCTGAGAGACGCGGACTCGTCGGACGAAGAGGCGGAGGAGGACATGGAGCCGCGCCTGCGCGTGGCGGAAACCGGCGGGGCGCCGCGGAAGCTCCACGTGGAGGAGATTGAGATTGAGGACGTGCCTGACGTGGACGGGTACAGCAGCGACGAAGAGAAGAGAGGAGGACACGTGGACGAGGTGGAGGAGGAGGCGGAGGAGGCGTGGGAGGAAGGCGAAGGGAGCGAGGAGGGAGGGAAGCGAGGATGGCTGACTAGGATTCGCCAGAAGTCCCCCACTAGCTGCTTCAAGCCGTCCGCCAAGCAGTCATCGACGCAGCAGCAGCGTCAGCAGCAGCAGCAGCAGCAGCCGTATCAGCCGCAGCAGCAGGGCGGCGAGAGCGGCAAGGCGTCGCCAGTGCCGGCTAGCCCGGGCAGCGCGGTGCCTGCCGAGAAAGCCGCCGCGGCTCACGCTGCCGCCGCCGCGTTCGCCGGGATGGGCCATTACGGCGCGGCGACTGGCGGTGTCGTGACGGAGACGGTAACGGGGGTGACGGAGGTGACGGAGTTGACGGAAATCGAGTCGGAGTCTAAGTCGGAGACGGAATCGGAGTCTGAGTCTGAGATGGAGACGGAGACGGAGCGTCTAGAGGCGCCCGTCGATGAAACCTTTATCGGTGAAGCAACTGGTAACGAGTATGCGAGGGAGGAGAAGGCGGAGGAGCAAGTCGAGGCCGTGTCGTCGCCGGCATCGTCGTCCTGCTCGTCGTCGTCGTCTGAGGAGGAGGAGGACGAGGAGTCGCACGTGGAGTCGTTCAAGGAGTCGCACGTTGCGATGTCGCAGTCGCAGTCGGAGATGACGGCGCTGACGCGTGACGAGAGCCTGGAGACGGCGAACACGGCCGCATCGGGCGTGGGATCGACGTACCTCGATGCTACAGCCGCCAGTCCCAGCTCGGTCGCTTCTTCCGTCCGCCCTGCTACAGCCGCGCGATACGCTGCGTTTGATGCTGCGGGGACTGCGTTCCGCCTGCCGGCTTCCGCCCCGGCGCCCGACGAGTACAAGGGCGGCGCGGCTGCGGCAGCCGCGGCGGCGGCGGCGGTGGCGGCTGCTGCGGCGGCGGAGTTTAAGTCTCCGATCGACTACGGCAGCGACAGCGACACGGTGATGCTGCGCGCCAAGCGCGCACCGGACTATGGCACGGGGAACGCGGACTACAGCCAGAGTGGCATCCGCGCGGGCCAGCCCCTGCCGCTCCCGCAGGCGCAGGCGCAAGCGGCGATCGCCGCTGTGCCCGCTTCCGCGACACTCGCGGTATCTGAGGCGGAGCCGGAGAGCACCTGGGCAGCGGAATCGGAGGCGGAGGCGGAGTCGGACGCGGAAGGGGAGAGCGGAAAGGCGCAGGGGGAACCCGCAGGGCAGAACGATGCGTACAGCTCGAGCAGCGAGAGCGAGAGCGACAGTGAGGAGGAGGCGGAGGAACGGCAGAAGGTTGTGCCAGTGCAGTCGTTTTACGGCCAGACAACGATGGCGCAGCAAGCGGAAGCGAAGGCGGAAGCGGAGGCGAAGGCGGAAGCGGAGGCGAAGGCGGAGGCGGAGGCGGAAGCGGAGGCGGAAGTGGCGAGGAAGGAGAGTGAGGAGGAGGTGAAGGAGGAAGAGGAGGAGGAGGATGTGTTTGAGGACGAGGAGGAGGAGAACTGGGAGGACTGCAGGAGTGCGGCGGGCGACTGGAGCGAGACGGAGAGCGAGCGCAGCTACAAGCGCGACTACCGGCGCGGCGGATCGCCGGCGCTCTTTGCTGCTGCTGGCTCGGCGCGCCAAGCCCTGCTTCTACAGCAGCAGCAGCAGCAGCAGCAGCTGTTGCAGCAGCAGAGGCAGGCGCAAGCTGCGGCTGAAGCTGCAGCAGCGGCGGCGGCGGCGGCGGAAGCGGCGGCGGCAGCGGCAGCTGCGAGCAGCAACAGCAGCAGCGCGAGCAGCGGCAGCAGCGACGGCGACTGGGAGCGCGAAGTGACGACGGAGGGCCTGGAGTCGGCGCTCGGACCCATCAGCCCGCCGTGCAGCCCCCCTGCTGCTACCGCTCCCGCTCCCGCTCCCGCTCCCGCTCTTCCCGCTCCTGCTGCTCCTGCTCCTGAGCCGGCCCGCAAGCCTCTCTCCCCGCCTGCTTCTCATGCGCCGGTGTCGCCCGCTCGGCCGTCGCCCGTTGCGCTGTCGCAGGCCGCCGCCTCGTCTTCGTCGTCGCCGTCGCCCGTGGCTGAGTCGCGACCTGCGTCGCCTGCTGCTCGTGGGGCGGAGAACCGGCGGGAGAGGGAGGAGGAAGAGGCGGAGCAGGCGGAAGCGCAAGCGGAAGCGGAAGCAGTAGCGGGCGCGGAGAGCGCGGTTGTCCAGACTGTTTCGGAGGTGAGCGCCCGCCTGAAAGCCGCCACTGCGGCCATACCTGCCGCTGCTCCTGCAGCAGCAACGGTCCCAGCCAAGTCCCCCCTGCGGCAAGCGGCCAAGGCTCCTGTGCCGCTGGAGCTGGCGGGATTCTTGGCGCCCACTGCGTCCACTGCCAGTAAGACCAAGGCTGCTGCTGCTCTGGGTGCTGCTACTGCTGGCGCTGCTGCTGGCGCCGCTTGGGGCTCGGCTGGTGTGGGCTCTGGAGGGGCTGCTGGTGCTGCTGCGCGTGCGGGACGCAGGACCAGCCTTGCTGGTGGTGCTGCTGGTGCTGCTGCTGGTGCTGCTGCTGGTGGTGGTGCTGGTGGTGGTGTACCGGCAGCAGCAGGAGGAGAGCGTGCTGCGGCGATTGGTCTGCCTCGAGGCGGCGCTCTCAGCCGGTCGGTCAGTGCTGATCGCTCCGCCCACCGCCCCTCGTCGGCCACTGCTGCAGCTGGTGGCCCTGGTAGCCATGGTCCCGTGTCGCCGCTGTCTTCGTCGGTGTCGGCTTTCCACTCGCCTCTGCACTCGCTCGCTGCCGCCCAATCTCTCTCATCCGCCGCCCGCGCCAATGCATCTCCCAGCCGGGCAGGAGGAGTAGGCAAGGGCGTTGGCGCTGGAGCTGCTGCTGCCGCTGCTGGTTCTGCTGCCAGCAACCCCAGCAACACCCTGGGTGCAGGGTCCAGGCGCCTGCTGATGCTGCAGGACCCGCCTGCTAGCACCGCCGGAACCGGTACCGGCAAGGGGGGGAGGGGCAAGGGCGGTAGTGGGGACGCGGAGGAGGAGGGAAGCTTTGGAGCGGCAGCGGGGCTGGAGGTGCCTGAGAAGGGCATGGGGTCTCTGATTAAGGGAGTGGGGAGGGGCACCGACGCCTTGGGATTCCCAAAGCAGCAGCAGCCGCAGCAGCAGCAGCAGGGAGGGGCAGCGGCTGCGCTGGTAACGGCAGTGGCGGCGGCAGCAGCGGCTGCGCCAGTGTCTGTTGCGGCTGAAGCGGCGGCGGTGGCAGGGATCGGGATGAAGGGGCACGAGGTGGTGGTGGGCGGCGGAACGAGCTTTGGATACCGTGGAGGTCAGAGCACTGGTGATCCTGCTGCTGCTGCTGCGGCGGCTGGGAGGAGGGCCTCTCTTGCAGGCACATCCAAGATGAAAGCTCCTGGCGGTGGTGCTGCAGTAGCAGGAGGAGGAGCAGCAGCAGCAGGCGGGGGAGGGGTTGGTAGCAGCCGGCGCATGGCAGGAGCAGCAGCCGGTGGTGGGGAGTCAAGAGGAGGGCTGCAGCCGTTGCGTCAGTCGGTGTCGCATCACCGCAGCAGCTTGGGCGGTGGCAGCTCGTTTGCGGCAGAGCATCGCATGGACGCGCTCAGCAGCGGCCGTGGCAGCCACAGCATCAGCAGCACCAACCACCACTCTGCCGCCATCGCTGCCGTCGCTGCTGCGGCTAGCAGGGGGGGGGGAGGAGGAGGAGGAGGAGGAGGGGGGCAGAAGAAGAGCGGGTGGGAGTCGTCGCTGCGTGACGGCCGCAGCGGCGGGTTCAACACGAGCCTCAGGCGTGCCAGCACCTTCGGCAGCAATAGTGGCACAGCCACCGCCGCTGCTCACGCTGCTGCTACCAGGCCGGGGGTATCGCCTCTGCGCTCTGGCATCGGCAGGGGAGGAGCAGGAGGAGCAGGAGGAGCTGGAGGAGGAGCGGAAGCAGCAGCAGCGGCAGCAAGGAGGCTGTCGGTGGGAACAGACCGGACAGCAGCGAGCAGCACGGCGGGGAGTGTGGCGGACCCGGACGACGTGGCGGGGGGGGGGAGTGCGGAGGAGAGGGGCGATGCGCTGGCGGTGCAGTTTCAGAAGTGGACCACGAGCCTGAGGAGCCCCAGCCCCAAGGCCGGGGCCGTGGAGAGGCCCCCGTGGGGCGGACCCAGGGGGGGGAGGCCGGCGGGTAATGCGCAGAGGAACGGTGAGTGTGGGTGGGCTGGGCTGGGGTGGGGGGAAAAGGGGAGGGGGAAGGTGGGGGGTTGGGGGCTTGGGGGGGGTGTGCCTTTTGAGGGGACGGTGTGGGGCTTGTAGATGGTTTGTTGGCTTGGCTGGTGGTGGGTGGAGTTCCTGGGACCTTTCCTGACTCTGTTTACTCTGTGAGTGGGGGTGTGTAGAATTGTAGTGTCTGCTCTGGTTGCTGATGTTTCTCTTGGTTCCTCTCCCCTCTCTCTCTCCCCTGTGGTGCTGTGCAGGTGGCACTGTGCAAGGCAGGAAGCTGTCTGCGCCAACTGCCTCGTCTCGCATTCTGTGAAGAGTGGAGCGGCAGCAGGGCAGTTGTGAAGGAGAGAAGAGAGGGGGGAGGCTGATGATGAGAGGGGGGAGTGGGGGGGTGGATGATGTGATGGGTGGAGAGGAGTGGAGAGGTGGTCATGGGTGCCAGGGGAGGGGGTAGAGAATTCCTTACACGTGCTTTATATACAGGAACCAGTAACACATACTGAGTGGTTCCGGGAGAATTGCAGCCTGGCGAGAGGTCTGGTAGTGGTTGGAGGGGGGAGGTGGCAGGAAGCTAGAATGATGGAACTTATGTACTTGTGTGCTTATGTAGGGATGTAGGCTGTAGCTTTGAGTTGGAATAAGTGTGCATCAGAATAGTGCTGGATATAGTGGTAAATAGAATTCTGAAGAACATTGGTTCTGGTTTTCATAAGTGAATGTGTGAGTACTAATGCAGCACAAGCAGAACAGTGGAAGTTGGAACACTTGCAGTGGTCACACTAGTGTGCCAGTCACACACAGGGGTCAGGCAGCAGGTGCTAGGGGCCAGGCAGCAGGTGCCTGTGGCTGGTTGAACGGAAGTGGCTGTTGGTATCAAACTGAGAGAAGTGAATGATAGGTAGAGGGAGAGTACAGATAGATATACCTAAGTATTGTACCCTCTAAGAGGTGACCCTATACAATCTATGCAAACATAACAAATACACATGTTTGACACACCCCCTTGACTGCATAGGGGAATGTCCTAAACAAGCAGCTCAGGGCGGCACTACTAGTCCAACCTCTAAGACAAGGGTCTAAGAGACCAGTCAGAAGGAGTACAGACAAGGCGAGAACAAGACCTGGGCGGCACTACTAGTCCAGCCACTGGGAGAGGACACAAGTCCAGTCTGAGTATACATATAAAGGACAGTACAAAGTCAAGGCCCTAGCAAGTGAGAGGCTACAGGGACTAGACCAAGCTGTACGCAGTGTCGCTGATGATCTTTAGGCGTAAGCGCCTTCGTAAAGATATCAGCTGTGTTGGCACCTGAGGCCAAGTGTACTACGCGAGCCTGACGTCGTTGCTGTAGCTCACGCAGGAGGAAGTACCGCAGCTGAATATGCTTCGCTCTGCCCTCGAGTCGAGGCTCCTGACACAGGAGGATCATGGCCCTGTTGTCAGCGAACAGGACCGGGGCAGAGCTAGGCCGCTCACCTAAGTCAGTGAGCAAGAAGGTCAGCCAGCGGAGCTCCTGTGCCGCCATGGCACCAGCGTAGATCTCAGCCTCACAGCTGGACTGGGCAACAGACGAGGAGCGGGTAGCTCTCCACGAGACGGCACCTGAGCCAAGGCTAAAGCAGTAGCCCTGGGTAGACCTGAGTGTCTCGGCGTCGTCTGCCCACGAAGCGTCTGTGTGTCCAGTAAGGACCACTGACCAGCGTCCTCCTAGCACTAACCCCATGCCCGATGTACTAGCAAGATAACGCAAAACCCTCTTAGCGGCAGACCAGTGCTGCGGTCGGTGTCTGCCTATGGCCACAAAGCGAGCCAGGATGCTGAGAGGGTATGCGAGATCTGGGCGAGTGCAAGTCATCAGGTACATGAGGCAACCCACCAGCTCTGCGTAGGGGCCGCTGGGCTCTGCCGACTCCTCAGACACTGGAGCGGAGAGTCTGTGGTCTACAGGCAGAGGGGTGGGCTGTGCAGAGGAGAACTGAAGGCTGAACCTCTGAAGGACCTGGCACACCAAGTGTGACTGAGTCAGGGTGATGGTGCGCGATGCTCTGTCCCTGGAGATCTGCAAGCCAAGGTAGCAGCGCAGTTCTCCAAGGTCAGTGCACGTGTGTCTCTTCAGCAGCTCTGCCTTCACGGAGGCCAGTGCGTCCCTATCTGCTGTGGCAAAGACCAGGTCGTCGACGTAAACAAGGATGTAGAACGGAGTCTGGCCAGCACGAACGAAGAGTGAGGGGTCTGCGGAAGACGGAAAGAACTGCAGGTCAGCAAGGGTAGCACGAAGAGTGTCGTGCCACTCACGGGGAGCCTGGCGCAGGCCGTAGACGGGGCGCCGCAGGAGCCACTGGGTCCAAGGAGGGAAGGTGCCAGTAAAGCCCTGAGGGCGACGCAAGTAGACCTGCTCGTGTAGGCTGCCCTGAAGGAAGGCAGTGGAGAAGTCTAGTGAGTGAAGCTCGTAGTCATGCTGAGCAGCTAGGTGTAACAGAACCCGAAGAGTAGTCATCTTCGGGGTCGGAGCGAAGGTCTGGAAGAAGTCTACCCCCTCACGCTGACTGAAGCCTCTAGCCACATAGCGCGCCTTGAACACAGGCGGCTCTCCAGGAGGGCGCTTCACCTTGAAGAGCCAGTGGCCATCGACTACGTTCACCCCAGGCGGGGGACTGCGTCGACGAAGGTGCCGGTGGATCTCCAAGATGCCATCTCCTGCTCCATGGCAGCTATCCACTGCGAGGCCCAGGGTCCCGAAGTCGCCTCAGCGTAAGTGCGAGGGGTCGGAATGTCGAAAGCGTCTGGGTCACCCTCAGGGACTAGCAGCATGGAACAGAGATGGGGAGCAGCCTCGGACAGGAAAGCAAGCTGGAACTGGCGGTCCTCCAGGACGTAACTACCAAGGGCAGGAGCACCCCCGACAGACGGAGGACAGGCAGGGTCAGCGACCAGAGCTGTGGCGTAGTCAAGGCGGCGGGTAGAGGCGAAGTCAGCGACCGCAGCGACAAGAGCGTCAAGGCACGAGACCGGAACAGACGGGTCGGTAAGGAGAGAGGCAAGGACCCGAGGAACAAGAGGACGAGCGGCACGAAGGTAGTCAGACAGCGGGGGGGGTGCAACAACAAGGGAGGACGGAGGAGGCGACGGCAGAAGGGGAGGACAAGACGCGTGGGAACGAAGCAACATAGGGTGGGAGCGCAAGACAGGCGAGGCAGGACGAGCACGGGAGGGACGGTGAGACCAGACGTGCGACGGAGGAGTCGGGTCAGGAGACAGGGGAGGGGACACAGGAGGGGAACGAGGGGGAAGACGGGTCGGGGACGAGTCCGGCAGAGGGAACACAGGGCCGTAGACGGGAAGAGGAGGAGACGGTCGGAGAGGAACAGACGCAGGTCGGGGGACGGAAGGCCGAGCAG